TTGATTTTTTTCTATTTTTTAAAAAAATTATTTATTTATTTATTTGGTTGTGCTGGTTCTTAGTTGCGGCTCGTGGGCTCCTTAGTTGCGGCATGCACGTGGGATCTAGTTTCCTGACCAGGGATCAAACCTGGGCCCCCTGCATTGGGAGCGTGGAGTCTTAACCACTGTGCCACCAGGGAAGTCCCTCTATTGTTTTTTAAATCTATTTTATTTATTTCCCCTCTGATCTTTATTATTTCCTTCCTTCCACTGACTTTAGGTTTTGTTTGTTCTTCTCTAATTCTTTTTTTTTTTTAAATTAATTTATTTATTTTTGGCTGAGTTGGGTCTTTGTTGCTGCGCATGGGCTTCCTCTAGTTGCGGCGAGTGGGGGCTACTCTTTGTTGCAGTGTGCAGTCTTCTCATTACGGTGGCTTCTCTTGCTGTGGAGCATGGGCTCTAGGTGTGTGGGCTTCAGTAGTTGTGGCTTATGGGCTCTAGAGCGCAGGCTCAGTAGTTGTGGTGTTTGGGCTTATTTGCTCCGTGGCATGTGGGATCTTCCCAGACCAGGGCTTGAACCCGTGTCCCCTGCGTTGGCAGGTGGATTCTTAACTACTGCGCCACCAGGGAAGCCCTCATTCTAATTCTTTTAAGTGGTAGGTTAGGTTGTTTATTTGAGATTTTTCTTGTTTTTTGAGTAAGGCCTGTGTTGCCTCTAAGAACTGCTTTTGCAGCATCCCATAGATTTTGTATGGTTGTGTTTTCATTGTCATTTGTCTCAAGGTGTTTTTTAATTTCCTCTTTGATTTCATCATTGACCCATTGGTTTTTTAGTAGCATGTTGTTTAGTTTCCATGTAATTTTTTTTTCTCATTTCTTTTTTTGTGGTTGATTTCTAGTTTCATGCCGTTGTGGTCAGAAAAGATGCTTGAGATAATTTCTGTATTCTTAAATTTGTTGAGGCTTGTTTTATGCCCTAGTATATGGTCAATCCTAGAGAATGTTCCATGTTCACTTGAAAAGAATGTGTATTCTGGTTATTTTGGATGTAATGTCCTGAAAATATCAGTTAAGTCTTAACTGTTCTGTTGTATCATTTAGGATCTCTGTTGCATTATTGATTGTCTAGAAGATCTGTCCATTGATGTGAGTGCGGTGTTAAAGTCTCCTACTATTATTGTATTCTTGTCAGTTTCCCCCTTTATGTCTATTAGTATTTGTTTTATTTATTTGGGTGCTCCTACATTAGGTGCATTAATGTTGACAAGTGTAAAATCCTCTTCTTGTATTGATCCTTTTATCATTATATAGTGTCCTTCTTTACCTTTCTTTATGGCCTGTGTTTTAAAGTCTATTTTGTCTAATATGAGTACTGTGACCCCCCACTTTCTTTTCATTTCTGTTTGCATGAAATATCCTTTTCCATCCCCTCACTTTCAACCTGTGTGTGTCCTTTGCCCTAAAGTGGGTCTTTTGTAGGTAACATATTGTAGGCTGTTGTTTATTTATTTATTTATTTTATCCAATCTGCCACTCTGTGTCTTTCAATTGGAGCATTTAGTCCATTGACATTTAAGGTACTTATTAATAGATATGTATTTATTGCCATTTTAGCCTTGTTTTCCTGTTGATTTTATATTTCTTCTCTGTCCCTTTCTTTTTCTTTTTCCTTTTGTTGTTTGATGATTTTCTTTTGTGTTATGCTTATGTTCTCTTCTTTTTGGTTTTTGTGAATCTCTTGGATGTTTTTGATTTGTGGTTACCCTGTTTTTCAAGTATGTTAACCCTATCCTGTTTCTGCTTGCCTTAGACTGGTAATCATATAGACTCAAACACATTCTAGGAAATGAAAAAAAAATCTACATTTTCTTACTCTCCTCCCCTACTTTTTATGATTTTGATGCCCTTTTACATCTTTGCGTTCATCCTTTTGCTGTTCACTGTGGTTATCATCACTGTCACAGAAATTCTTTGATTTTTTTTTAATCTGTGGACTGGCTTATTTAGGTGATTTGCTTTCCGATTGTGATTTTCTCTTTCCTATATATTCTTACTTCTTTTCTATTTAGAGATGACCTTTCAATATTTCCTTCAGAATAGGTTTTGTATTTCTGTATTCTTTTAGTTTTTGCTTGTCTGAGAAATACTTTATCTCTCCTTCTATTCTAAATGATAATCTTGCTGGTTAGAGTATCCTAGGTTGCAGATTTTTCCCTTTCAGGACTTTGAATGTATCATGCCACTCTTTTCTGGCCTGCAATGTTTCTGTAGAGAAATCAGCTGATACCCTTATGGGGGTTCCCTTGTAATTAACTCTTTGTTTTTCTCTTGCTGCCTTTAGAACCCTCTCTTTAACTTTTGTCATTTTTATTATAATATGTCTTGGTGTACGTGTGTTTGGGTTTATCTTGTTTGGGACCCTCTGTGCTTCGTGTACCTGGATATCTGTTTACTTCTTTACGTTTGGGAAGTTTTCAGCCATAATTTCTTCAAATACATTTTCGATCCCCTTTTGTCTTTCTTCCCCTTCTGGAATCCCTATTATGCATAGATTGGCACACTTTATAATATCCCATAGGATATTATTGCATATCCCATATGCATAGATTGGCACACTTTATATTATTCCTTTATGTTATCCCATAGGCACACTTTATATCATCCCATTGGCACACTTTATATTATCCTATAATATATTATCCCATATAATATATTATCTTATATTGCTTTCATTTTTTTTTCATTTGACTTTCTGTCTGCTATCCTGATTGGGTGATTTCCATTGTTCTAGCTTCCACGGCACTTATTCATTCTTCTGCATAATTTATTCTGCTATTCATTGCCTTTAGTTGCCTTTTTGTCTCGGCAAATGAGTTTTCTAATTTTTCGTGGTTCCCCTTTATAGTTTCTAGTTCCTTTTTACAGTACTCTGCATTTCTGTCGATAGCCTTTCTTAATTCCTTCAGTATTTTCATTATCTCCTTTTTGAAATCGGTGTCTATTAGAGTGAAGAGGTCTGTTTCATTGTTTGTTCTTTCAGGGGAATTCCCTTGGTCTTTCAACTGGGAGTGGTCCCTCTGCTTCTTCATTTTACTTATATTTCTCTTAATTCTGTGAGTTTAGGAGAAACAATTGTCTACTGTGGTCTCGGAGGGCTATTTATATGTGGGAGTGTCCCTGTGTAGCTTGTGTGGGTTTAATACTTTTGGTGCGAGGGCTGTTTTTAGTATGGATGTATGTTGCGTCTTTCCTCAGCGTGTGCTGGCCGTTATCCCCTTGATACAGGTGTGCCGATGCAGCGGCTGGTGCCTGGTCCTGGGGTTATTGGCAGCGGTGGCAGCTCATGTGCACACTTGGAGCACGCCGTGGGAGCAGAGGCAGCTCGCCACCACTCCTGGAGCCCGTGTAGGCAGTGTCCTGCTGCCTGAGAGCTCACACAGGGAAAAACGCTGGAATAGCAGGCCCTCCCCTTGCCCGCACACACCGCCCACACAGTGGCGCTTGGCCTCTAAGGCGGCCCAGGCTTCCTCTGTGTACACCCACAGTTGTGGTCACACCAGACTCCAGTCCCTCAGGGTGTTCCCACGCAGCCCACCCCAGTCCTCTCCCCGGTCTGATCTCTGAAGCCCAAGCTTCCACACCCAGCCCCCGTCCACACTGGTGGCCACGTGTCTCAGGCTGGGGAGTGCAGAGCGATGGCACTGACCATCTGTGCAGGTTTCTCTCCATTCTAGCTGCTGCAGACCCGTTGCTGAGTTCTCCTCCGAGGCTCCGAAGCCCCCCTCTGTCCCTGCTGATCTCCCCACCAGTGAGGGGACTCCCCAGGTGCAGGAACATTTCCTCTTTGACAGCTCCCTCCCAGGGGTACAGGTCCTGTTCTGATTCCTTTTTCACTTTCCTTTTTTTCTTTTTTCCTTTTTTCTTTTGTCCTACCCGGTTGCATGGAGATTTTCTTGCCCTTTCAGAGCTCTGAGCTCTTCTGCCGGCATTCAGTAGATATTCTATGAGAATCATTCCACATATAGATGTATTTTTGATGTATTTGTGGGAGGAGGTGAGCTTCACGTCTTACCATTCCGCCATCTTGATCGCCTCTGACTTTTTTCTTTTACTTTTTTGGGGTATTTTTCAGAGTTTTTAGAGTGAAATATTTTATATCCAGGAACAAAAGTTATTTAAAACAAAAAAGGTGGACTTGTCCAGTGGGACCACTCAGGAGATAGGCATCTTCAGGAGTGGGTGAACTGCCTGTCCTTGGGGGTGGGCAGGCAGAGGCGGTGTCCATCTGTTATGGACACAGTTCCAGGACTTCCTTAACAGGGGAGTGGCTGGGGGCTGCGTTCTTCGATGAACTGTGCCATGACCGCCCCAAAGGTCCCTGAGGCTGTGGGAGAAGGGAATAATCCAATGTACTGCTCCTGTCCTCAAACTTGACCGTGCCTGAGTATCACTGGGGATCTTGTTCTAACTCAGACTCTGACTCAGGAGGTGGGCCCAAGACTCTGCATTTTTAACGAGCCCCAGGTGATGCTGATGCTGCTGGTCCAAGGCCCTAGAGCCCTTTCCTCCTGGATTTGCCCTGGAGGAGTGCCCAGGCACTGCAGAGCACACAGATGATTCCAGAGGCAATTGGAAAGGTACACAGGGCTGTGAGGATGAGTGACCTGAGCTGGGTGACATTTCTGGAAGGACTCTTCAGAGATATTAAAAGACAAGTTTCCATCCGAGTTGTTGGGTTTGAGACCAGGTCCCCTCATGCTTTGGCTTCGTGGAAAGAGCTCAGTGTTGGAATTTGGTGGGCCAGGATTTGAAAACCAGCTGTGCAGCTTGTTAGCTGTGTGTCCTTGGGCAGGTCATCTTGCCTCCCTCTGCCTCAGTTTCTTCGTCTGAGGATAGGAATGCCTGCCAGATAGCCGTGGTAAGGGTGAAGTAGGGTAGCGTGTCAGATACCTGGCATGCAGTGGGCCTTCAATGAACTCTTGCTTCCCCTAACACCACACGCTCATCTCTTCTTGAAGGTGGATGAGATTTACCACGATGAGTCCCTGGGGGTCCACATAAACATCGCCCTTGTCCGCTTGATCATGGTTGGCTACCGACAGGTAAACCCCCGTGTCAACAGGCAGTGTTTGAGGGAGAAGGGGTGGGGGGGCCAGAGCATCAGACCAGCTAAGGTATCGGGGAGGGATAACAGCATCTAGGAAACATTTTGTTTCCAAAATTAGAACCCCCAAACCGTTAGAATTGAGGTTTCAGTGGCGGAGGCATCTGGGGTTGGTAAGCGGGGACTTATGAATTCCCTCCAATCGGGTAAATGGACAGTCCTCAACCCCTACAGCTAGCTGGAGGTCCTGCTCCATGAATCGGTGGGGAAAGTGGGGCTTAGAGGGGGGGCCAGTGACCGAGACAAGTCCTGCTAGGGCTGTGGCCGGGGGTTCTGGGCTCTGTTGCTTGTTTTCCCCCATACGGGAGTAAAAACAGAACTCTCCTCTAGGGGCTGTTGTGGAGATTAATGACAATGACTGCATAGCGGAGATGCTCAGTGCAGCAGCTGCCTGTGGGTTACTTGAGGAATTAGCAATAATGTGAGTTCTCAGCAGACAGGTGCCCCAGCACAGGGCTTGGCACAGGAACGTTCCCTAAAACGGAACGGGGCTGTGTGCCAGTGGCAGCCGGAGCCGGGACAGCGGTGACCTGTGCCGTCCTGCGGGCCTCCGTGTCCCCTGCTGCTGGGAGCACAGCGCAGGGTGCCTGCTGCAGTCCGTGGGCTCTGACCGGCACTCTGCTCTCTGGCCCCCCAGTCCCTGAGCCTGATCGAGCGTGGGAACCCTTCTCGCAGCCTGGAGCAGGTGTGTCGCTGGGCGCAGTCTCAGCAGCGCCAGGACCCCGGCCACGCGGAGCACCACGACCACGTCGTCTTCCTCACCCGGCAGGACTTTGGGCCCTCAGGTACGCAAGGTACTGTATTTGCCGTGGCCAGGTGTGTGCAGCTGCAGGGCAGAGGCCAAGGCTGCCTCTAGGGCCAGGTCTTCTGACAACAAAAAGATCCTTGGGACTTTGGAGACAGGACCTGGCCGGACAGGTAGGCGAGCTTTGGAATGGTTTCTCGGGGGCCAGGGGAAGTGAAGGGGCCCCGCCCTGGTCCCTGCTGCCTTGGTTGAGCCTGCAGGTCGCTGTGAGTCAGGCCCTAGGCCCTGTGCTCACCATCCCGGAGCCTGGCTGATCGAAGACCTCAGTGATCCTCAAGATGCCTCTGCCCACACTGTATCCTTCTGTGCTCACTGCGGGCCATGGGGCGCCTAGGGCGGGGCTGGCGCGGACTTCAGAAAGGAAGGCCCTGCTCTACCCGCAGACCCATGCCTCTCCAGCCTGGCGGTCCAAACCCATTCATCTCCTGAGATCTCCCAACTGTGGGATGGGAGAAATAGTAGTATTTGCCTTCCTCCATTCCTGGGCTGCTAAAAGGGCTGAGGGATGCATCCCATGTCTGTGACAGAGGATGGCTGAAAGCGCTCTGCAGACATAGGAAGCTTTGATCACCCCCAGGTTTCTGTATGGGGAAACCAAGGCACAGAGTGGCAACAAGGCTTGCCTAGGCCTCACAGCAGAGAGGTGACAAAGCTGAGACTCAGACGGGATCTCCAGGCTCCAAGTTGAGGGCTTTGTAGTGTTTTCTGGTTTGATGCTAGAAGAGAGGCAGCCTCTACCAAAAGGGCTGCTTGTCTGAATCCCTGAAGCCCCAAAGGCAGGCTTGTACACACACAAACAGATTTACACACCTACACGCAGACACACGTGTGTACAGACACACATGTGCAGACACACAGACACGTGTGCAAAGAGACACACATACACGTGTGTACTTGCATGCCCTGTAGAGTACATCCAGACCTCCAGGACAATCGGGACCCAAGAAGCCTTCTCACCACAGCTTCTCGTTACACCCCCAAAACCATCTCAAATAAGAGAGGATTTCAGCAATTCCGAAGACAGGGAATAGCTATCTGGTCATGGTTGGCTGAAAGCCCGAGGCAGGGAGCGCTCTCTACCATCTCCCCCTCCTTCCTCAGCCCAGGCTGCCCTCCCAGCTGATTACGGGCCCTGGGGAGGCGGGGAAGCAGCCCCCGTAGATCATGGGCCTCGCACACAAAGCTGCTTACTCAGTGCCACGTGCCGGCCCCCTGCACTGCCCGCGGCTCCTGAGGCCTGCGCAGCTGTGTCTGCACCTTGCCCGTGTCCTCCCCTCCCCCTGCCTGCCCCCCACCTCGCCAGAGTCTCTCGCCTGTCCTCCAGGCCCAGCTCTAGGCCCCCGTAAGTCATTCCCTGGTCCCGCTCAACCCCTTCGGTCAGAACCCTTCCCCCCAGCCACCCCACACACCCCTCTGTGCTACTTGAACTCCGGCCCTGCAGGCCCACACCTAGGCTGACCTCGTGACCCCTAGTCTCCCTGCTAAGCCGTCTGCCCCTCCGGTGTGTGGGTGTGCTGGGGGGATGCGGGCTCGCGCCTGTTTTCCCCGTAGTCTCTAACACGGTGCCACCTGCTACCCCGCATAGACACATTTGGAGCTTGTTTGTTGACTCACCAGCGGACTGACTGGAGGGATGCAGCTCGGAAGTTGGCTGTATGCAGGCTCGGGGCCGACAGGCACAGAGAGCTGCAGGCCAGGAGGGAGGGCGGCAAGCCTTAGGACGTGGGGGCAGCTTGGCCCAGGAGCTGTACTGCGGGTGCGTACACACGGGGGGCGCGTTGGAAGGATCCTTCTTCCTCCAGGGACCCTCCGGTGGTGACCAGGCCTGGACGTCCCTGCGGTAGCTGGCTCGGCACAGACCTCGTCGAGTCCTACCTCACCTGCACGTGACCTCTCTCTCTGCCCTCTCTCCCTCTCCCTGGCAGGGTACGCGCCTGTTACTGGCATGTGCCACCCCCTGAGAAGCTGTGCCCTTAACCACGAAGATGGCTTCTCCTCGGCCTTCGTGGTGGCCCACGAGACTGGCCACGTGTAAGTGGCACTGAGAGGCGAGCTGTGCCTTGAGCTCTGCGGAGGTCTGCGGGTGTGGGAAGCTTCGCCCCAGTTGGGACTCCCTTCCCAGTGTCCAGGGATATGCCAGAGGAGCTGCCCCGACGGGGATGGAGCCCTGGGGCCCAGACAGCAATTCTGGGCCTGCCTTGGGCCCAGCCCCAAATCCAGGGCCTTGGGAGACCAGATGTGGCCCTGCCTCTGGCAGGCCAGTAGCAGTGTCGCCTTATAGGCGGTTCTCTGCTCTCTGGGTGGCCTCTATCCCTCCATCTCAGCCACACCTCAAGGCCCTCCCAGTGCTCCGCAATGGAGCCCTGGCCTGAGTCCATCATCAACAGGGGCACTTAGACCCAGGCCTCGGGCCAAGCGGGTGGCGGGCTTGTGTGATCCTCGGGCCCGGATTTGGTTTAGAGCATGTTCATTCATTCATTCAACCAGTATTTCTTGAGCACCTGCGGTGTGCCAGGCCCTGTTCTAGAAATAGGGCTGCCGTGGAGAATGGGACAGAAAAGCACGCAAGAAGCTACGTGCTGGGAGAAAACAAATAATCCACCATCCAGTGTCTGGGGGTGACATATACCTGTCACAGTCACGTCTCCTGGCCTTGTCTGTCCACAAGGGCAGAGCTACGGGGCCCGCCCCCAGCTTGCCCGCCCCCAGCCCACACACAGTGAGGGCTGTTCTCTGCGTCTGCCTGCCCCTGCCCTGCCCCTCGCTGGGTGGGTAGCACCTCCCCTCTGGGGCCTCCGTTTCCTCGTCTGCAACACGGGGGCTGACACCAGGGAAACGTCTGCGGTCCCTTCCTGCCCCGGCAGCCAATGCTTCCACACGTCCTGGGGCCAGGAGTTTGTCTTCCTGTACGTGGGGGGCGGAGCATGTCCACTCTTCACTCACAGAGCCCCTCCCTATGGAGAGACGAGGTCCAGCTTAGAGGCCCATGTGTCTGTCTAGTGGTCAAGGCCAAATGCAGACGCCTGGGAGTGTTTAAGAATTTAGAACCTTTGGGCTTTGGTGTTAAATACTAACTAGAAAGAGCAAACTTTTACATTTCAACTATCATCACGGCAGGTAGGTACCACACACAAAGCTCTGTGCTGGGTACCGCGGGGTCTAGGAGAAGTTAAGGAGGCTGGCACCCAGGGAGGGCGCAGTAAGGGAGGTCGAACTGAACAGAATGAAACTGGTCCTTGCACGTGAGACCTTGGGTCTGGAGGGAAGACAGTGCATGGCGTGTGAGTTGTTAACGGTGGTACAGGCGTTCCCTGCTGTGGGAGGGCAGCCCACAGGGAGGGCGGCCAGGAAAGGTGTCCTGGGGCCAGAGTGGCACTGGAGCTGACCTCGGAAACTGTGAGGACATGGGTAGGGTTTGAGGAGGGGTCAGGAGGGCAGAATGAGTCCAGCCCCATTGGGGGCCAGGTGGGGTCTCAGCTTCCATCCAGAGGGGTGGCCCTCTCCACTGCATGGTGGGGAAACTGAGGCCAAAAGTCACAGTCTGAAGCCTGGTCAGGGCAGGGTCTCAGGCCCGCCTGCTCACCTCCCCAGGGGTGGGCTCCCTGGGCATGACTGAGGGCTCCCCTCTGTCCTCCCCCACCCTCTAGGCTCGGCATGGAGCACGATGGTCAGGGGAATGGCTGCGCAGATGAGACCGGCCTGGGCAGCGTCATGGCGCCCCTGGTGCAGGCTGCCTTCCACCGCTTCCACTGGTCCCACTGCAGCAAGCTGGAACTCAGCCGCTACCTCCCGTAGGTCACCTCCACCCTCTGGGCCCGGATGGGGAGCAAGCGGCCTGCCACTCCATCTCCCCCAAGTCATCTTCCCTCCTAACACCATCCTACTCCTGACACATGCTCAATTCTGGGTTTGCTGGTCAGCTTCTGGGGCTCCGGGGACGTGGAGGCCCAGGACAAGCATTGGACTCAGGAGCTCAAGGCCGAGAATGGGCGCAGAGTGGATTTGGGCGGGATGGGTGCCGGCAGAGATACTGTCTCTAACCTCACGCAGCAGCCGGCCAGCGCCCAGTGTACGTCCTGCACGGCGGGCTGACTTGTCTTCTTCTGTCAGTGCAGTGAGCCCTCAAATTGTCCACGAGCCAACCCTTAATCTGGGCCATGATGTGTCTCTGTAATGCGGGCAAAACAGGCCCCGTAAGAAAGCCACAAGCTGAGTGCCTAACCGCAGTCCTAGGTCCCCTTGCCCTGGAGCTCCCAGACATGGTCGTGGGTAGAAGCGAGGGGAGGGCAGGGCAGCCCGTCCTCCCTGGACAACACAGCTCCTGGCACAGGGCAGCGGGGGCAGATTCCTGCAGGCCTTCCTTGCTTGGTTAACACCCCCTCCTCTGGGAAGGGAGAGCTTGGGAATTCCTGTCCCCACCCTGCTCACCTCCCTGCCTCTGCCGGCAGCTCCTATGACTGCCTCCTTGATGATCCCTTTGCACCCGCCTGGCCCCGACCCCCGGAGCTGCCCGGCATTGACTACTCAATGGACGAGCAGTGCCGCTTTGACTTCGGCACTGGGTACCACACCTGCTCAGCGGTGAGTTCCCATGGCCTCTGCCAGCTGGATGCCAGGTCAGGTCCTCCTGGGATGCAGGCTGGTCATTCACAGGGCACCTTAGCCCAGGCAGGGTGACCAGGGCCCAGGCCCTGCCACTTTCTGCCATATCCCCGCCCCACGCAGTCCCACAGAGGGGTGGGGGGCCAGCGTGTGTGGTGGCTGGAGAATGCCTGGAAAGACGGGAACAGAGTAGAACAGAGAGGGTGGGCCCCCGCTGGGATCCTGGTTGGGCTGGTCACCGGGGGAGTTTATCAGTCAGGTGGCCCATGTGTCAGATCAGGTGCTGGGCTCTGGCCTGGTGGAGAAATACTTGCCACCCTCTGCTCTTTGGGCACTTGGAGGATGTTTTGGGCAGACTTCCCACACTGGTAAAGTTCTCGTGTGCCCCATATAACCTCTCTCCAGGGGGTCAATTGCATGCTTCCCCACCCCTCCCCCACCCCCATCCCATACTTGAGGAGATAGATACAAGGGAGCAGAGCCCTGTCCCTACTCTGCAGGACAGGGCAGGGGAGAGCCTGGAGCCTGGTGATCAGCTAGAGCCACCTAGGAGAGAATTGAACAGCTGCTAGCCAGGGCCCAGGTGGAGCCTCAGAGACATGGACATCCCAGGGCAGGGGGCTCTCTGAGGGGTCAGGCCTTGACGCCTCGAGTACCTCAAACCGCCCCCATCCAGGAATGCAGCCCCCTCCTCAGCTCTGCAGGACCAGAAGGCCCTGTGTGTGGCCACCTTGCTCACTGCCCAGGCCACAGTGGGACAGCTGGTCTCTGCTCTGGGAGTGGAGAAACAGCTGGGATACGGGGTTTCAGTGCCCAGATGCTGTGTTTGTAGGACGCTAGTCTGGCCAGCAGGGGATGATAGGAGAGAAGGAAATTGGGGCTTTCCTGGACAGTCTGAAACAGAAGGGTGCCAACCTCTGGTGTGGCTGGGTGAGATTAGAGGGGGGTGGGAGTCCTGACCTTGTCTGGGTGCTGCAGGGCCTGGGCTAGACTGGCAGCCCTCTCAAAGCCCTCCACATGCACAGAGCTCAGGGGGTATCAGTGGACCCAGCCTCCCCAGAGCCTCAAACCCTGGTCCCTGCTCAGTCACAGAGTGGCCTCTGCAAAGGCAGGGAGGGAGGCCTGGGGAGGGAGACCAGAGGCGTGTGGGCTGTGGCTGGTGCCTTCTCTTCGGTGCCCTGTTGGAGAGAGGAGGGGTCGCTGAGGCCAGTGGCTCTTGTGGTGGGGTCGAGCTTGTGTGCGCGCGGGGCTCTGGCTAGACGGGCCCCTCCTGCCCCCCTCGCAGTGTTCTGGCCCCAATGCCCAGCACACCCTCCCCTCGCTCTGTCACTGTCCTTTGCCCCCGGACAACTCGTCAGAGCTGGGGAGCTAGTCCGGCCCAGTGACCCTGAACTTGCCGTGCAGTTCAGGACCTTCGAGGCCTGCAAGCAGCTGTGGTGCAGCCATCCTGACAACCCTTACTTCTGCAAGACCAAGAAGGGGCCCCCGCTGGACGGGACGGAGTGCGCGCCAGGCAAGGTACCTGCGGACCGGGGGCTGCAGCAGGAATGCCTTCCTGGGGTGCAGGCCCCACGGGAGACCCACCTTGCTGCCGAGTGTGGATACGAATGCGTGGTGGGGGCTGGGGGAGGGCTGAGGACAGGAGCCAGCCTCGCGTGCGGGCAGATGGGCAGGGAGTCCTCGCAAGAACTCACACACACGCCCTCTCCTCTATGGCACCACAGTCCTTGGCTTCTACAGCAGCAGAGTTTGGCCTTGTCTCCCAGCCCGTCGGCAGGAATGCTTACTGCCACTTGAGGAGAATGCAGCCCAGGCAGGTTAGGGAACTTGTGGAGGTCAGGCAGAGGGTGACTGGCTGAGAAGGGGTGAAGGGAAGATTCCAGGTGTTCTGCCTGCTCCCCCCACCCACCATGCTGTCTCTTACCCCTCCCCCCCAAACCTGCCCTTTCATGTACTTCCTGGGGTGTGCACCCTCTTGCACCCTCTTGCGTGTGTGAGTGTCAGGAGGACCCCGGATCTGAGAGCCCTGAGCTGAGGTCTGAAACCCACTTCTGCTCTATCGCTGGCCCTGCTCCCCCGCCCCCATTTCTGTGTGGTGACCTTGGTCCATTCTTTGACCCCTGCTGAGCCCTGACCAAGCATCCTTCCCGCTCCTCAGGTTGTTGTGAAGTTGTGAGTCATGTCAAAGCAAATGAGAGGGCTGGGAAGAAGCACGGTGCTGCCCCCAGCAGCCTGTCCTTTGCCCTTTACCCTCTGCCCTTATCTGTTCTTCCCATTCTCATCTATAAATGGTCTGTCCCTTCACAGATGTGTGGGGCTTCCCATGGCCTTGTACAGGCCCTGTGGGCCAAACCTGGAGGGCTATTATCCTGGAGCCTCGGGTCTACCTGCTCCAGGTGTGTTCGAGTTTCCAGGCCCTCTCCTATCACAATTTCACATAAGAGTTAATCAATGGCTCTCAGTTTTGTCTGCGTATTAGAACCATCTGGGGAGCTTTAAAATCCCCCACGCCCCAGAACAGGGAGTGACTGCAAACGGGCACAAGATATCTCTTACGATGGTGGAAATGTTCCAAAATTGTATTGTGGTGATGGCTGCCAAATGCTGTAAGTTTATGAAAAGTCATTGAATTGTACACTTGAAATGAGTGAAGTTTATGGTCTGTAAATTTCAGTTGACCCTTGAATAACACAGGTTAGGACTGCATGGGCCTGCTTATATGCGGATTTGTTTTTTTCAACAGTAAATACCACAATACTACCAATCGGTGGTTGGTTGAATCTGTGGATGCAGACCATGGATATGGAGGACCGACTATAAGTTATATGTAGATTTTCAACTGCAGAGGGCAGGCACCCCTAACCCCTGAGTTGTTCAATGGTCAACTGTATAGTGCTTCTTTTAAAAATTACCACTCCTTTTAAAAATCCCTACCTCTAGAGAGTCTGACTCAGTCTGGGGTGAAGCTGAGGCATCCAGAGTTCTTAAATGTTCCCCAAGTGACTCCGAGGCTGAGAACTACTGAGTTATCTCTTGAAAAAGACCCAGAGAGCTTTGCTGTATTTCTTACCTATGGCCCTACAGGAAAAGGGAAGGGGGTTGACTTTGGTTGAGCCCTCCTTTGTGCCTGGCCTTGTGCTGAGGGCTTTGTCAGTGTTGCTGCCTTCAGTTCTTAGAACAGTCCCATTTAACAGGCAAGGACACTGAGGCTCAGCAAGGTGAAGCTGTGCCAAAACACACATAGCTAGTAGTGGCCGAGCTGGGATTCAAACCCAGGCCTTCTGGACTTGAGGCATATGCTCCCTCCACTGCATGGATGGACCTCCCGGGTGGCTGGCTTCCCTCCCATGAACATACCTGCCTGGGGCCCCTGGATGCTGATGGAGCCAAGACCAACTCTAGATTGTGTGGGAAGATTGTGTCTTCTCTCCCTTATCAGCCCTTTGTTTCTCTGGGGGTGGCAAACCAAATAATGGCACAGCTATTGTCACCATGAATAATACCATCTGCGTTTTTGGAGGGCTGTGTGTGCCAGGTGTTATCTCATGGAATGCTCACAGCAGCCCTGTGGGCAGGTGCTGTTATCCCCGTGGTACAGTCGAGGAATAGGATCAGAAAGGGGAGCCCTTTGTTGAAGGTCCCTCAGCGCATGGTAGGGCTGGGATTCTGTGTGACCCTGAGGCTTGTGCTCTTAACGTTCCTTTTTCTGGGCTCACCCGTGGTGCCTGCCAGCTGTGCCGTGTGCCCGGTTGGGCACTTTCTATGGCAGGCTAGGCAGCGGTGGCCCTAGGGTGACCTCGCACCCTCTGCTCCATCCCAGTGGTGCTTCAAAGGTCACTGCATCTGGAAGTCGCCGGAGCAGACTTATGGCCAGGATGGAGGCTGGAGCTCCTGGACTAAGTTCGGGTCATGTTCACGGTCGTGTGGGGGCGGGGTTCGATCCCGTAGCCGGAGCTGTGACAATCCCCCGTGAGTGCACTTGGCTGAGGTGGGCAGGGCAGGGGCCCGAGGGGGTTGGAGAGGGAGTCGCTGGGGGGCAGGGCACAAGAAAGAAGGTCCCCTGCAGGTGGCTGTGTACGTATTCCAGTGGATGACGGCCCAGAATTGTTGGGGGCGCCAAACCACTTCCACCTGGGTCTGACATCTCCCTTTGTGTCTGACTGACATCTGAGAATGGGTCCGAACCAGTGATTCTCAGATTCTCGTCTGCGAAGAATCTGGGTGGGCCCAAGGCTTGGCCAGTTTAACAAGCCCTCCTGTGACCCTCATCCTCCAGCTAAACTTTGAGAAAACACTGGTCTAAATGTTCACTAGCCATGTCTTGGGAGGATAAATTCCCCAAGTCTGTTTCCTACTACCTGAAGCAAAACTTCCTTCAATTTTTCTTAACTTATCTCTTTCTAACATCAAGTCCCCCCCCCTCACTACCCCCTACCCATATGTCAGCATTCTGGGGGAATAATCTCTTTCTCCCATTTATCCCCTCTATGGGGACCCCCTCCCATGGTTTTGGAACCTCTGAGCACCAGCTTTTGATGGCCTCCGTCTCCCACGCTGAAGCAGCCTGCTTAGAACAGCTTCATGAGAGATGGGGGCTGGCTGGGGCCGGCCGTGTGGGTCAGCTGTCTCCACGTTCAGTGATTCTGAACCTCTGTGGGGCAGGGCCGGTCCCACCCCTCACAGTGCTGAGTGATGCGATGGGGACCTCAGAATGGCAGGGTCCTAGGATCACAGAGGCTCGGGGGTGGTCACCCTCCCTCCAGCATCCTCAGGAGTGGTCCTTCATACTCTGCTGTGTACCTCCAGGGATGGGACGCTCCGTGCCCCCTGGAGCAGCCTATTCCTGTGTACTGACCCTTTACAAATATGAGACGAAATGAACAGCCTTCAACCTGTTGGGGGTAGGAAAGCCAGGTTAAAGAAAGGCACGGTGATGCCCACTCTGGATAGACCACCTCCCAGTCATGAGAGATAGTTATCCCCATTTATTGAACTCGTCTACGATAATAACTTTTTATTTTATGAGGCTTAAATGAAGTATAATCTATGCAGCCTCAGCACCATGCCCATGCCCAGCACAGATTAATAAAGGACAGCTGCTGTTATAATTACCCCAGTGCACGGAGCACTTTCTCTGTGCAAGGTGGGGTGCTAAGCACTTCCATGCATAAACCCATGTAATCCTCCCAGCATCTCTGAGCAGAGTTCCAGTAACCTTGTTCACTTGGGTACTTTGTATCCATAATCTTACCGGATCCTTTTAATTTAATGGGGAAGAGAATACAGATTTAAATACCTTTTTAAAATTTATTCTTCACAGGCACACCAGGAGGTAGGTAAAATAAGAAGTGTTATGGTCCCTCCTTTAAAGCAGAAGTTAAGACAGCAAGACTTGGGGTTAGATTTAGCCAGGTCTTCTTACTCCAAATCCAAGTCTCTTTTACCACTCCGCGGTTAATTATGATATTAAATGGAAGTGGATGCAAGTAGGAGCAGCTGAGTCATTTATTGAGGGCCTACCATGTGCCAGGAGCTGTGTAAGGCTGAAAGAATATACAAAGATGAATCAGATTGATTTCTCTTCTAGCCCAGCTGGAGGGGGTTAGTCATTCCCTCCTGTCTTCCTCCCTCTCCCTCCCCCCATCCTTTGCCCCCTTTCTTTTGCTCATTCTCTCCTCTCCCCCATCTCACACACACACACACACACACACACACACACACACACACACAATAGGTGGCATATGCCTGAAGGGACCACAAGGCTCTGAGCTCAGCAGTCCTCACAGTGAGGGTTCCTCTCTAGTTTGTAAGTTAGTGGAGCCCCTTTTTATGCTGCTCTAAAAGGCTGGGCTACCCCAGGTCACCATGTGGGAAGCCTGCCCCCACCCCGAGCCTTTCCAGCCAGCACGGTCTCTCTGCGCTCGTCCCAGCCCAGCCTATGGAGGCCGCCTGTGCTCGGGGCCCACGTTCCAGTACCAGGTCTGCAACGGCGAGGAGTGTCCGGGACCCTACGAGGACTTCCGGGCCCAGCAGTGCGCCAAGCGCAACTCCTATTACGTCCACCAGAATGCCAAGCACAGCTGGATCCCCTACGAGCCGGACGACGGTGAGTGGAGTCCTGCTCCCCACGCCCACCCCGTGGCCTTGGGCATCTGCTGAGTCCATGTCTTCCCAGGCAGGGCTTCCCAGGCCTGGCCCACCAGTGAAGGTGGAGGGACAGCGGTGGCACCAAAAGGGATATTGCAGTCAGCAAGTTTGCCATGCGCCTTTGTGCAGGCCTTTGCGCTGTGTGCGTTGGGGGAGCCACAGTCCTCATCACAACCATCCTTGATCTGTATGCTTATGCTGACCGTTTTCTGTCCGATGCAAGGACAATGTCTTGAGCAAGGGTTACTTGGCCCAGAGGTACCGGCTGGCAGCAGTGCTGGCTGTCGGGGTTGGTGCCTTTCGGACATGTCCTTACCTGTGCGGAAGGCCCGGTACAGGTGCGGGTGCCCCTTGCTTTGCTCCTGAGAAGCTTTGTCCTATTACATACCATGTTTTTAGGTTTTACTGATGGTGCTACTGTTTCAGTAGTTAATGAAAATGATTTGAAAGTCAGGCCGATGGGAGTCTGGGGGATCCTCCTACTGACCCCCTACAGGCTACCCTGGACACAGGTCTCAGGACTCAAGCGGAGGGTCTGAATTCTGGGGCCAAGCCAGTGCCTATCTGTTTTGGAGCATTTCTAGTGATGGCTCTCGCAGCGGCAGAGAGAACCCAGTGAAGGGCTGGATTCATGCCTTCAGGCTGGAAGGGCCTTCAACAGTCCTCTCAGTCTACTTTCCCCTGCCGGCCTCTCCATGGTCCTTCCATAGCCTGATGCTTACCCCCTACCACGTAGCCCTCGGCATCAGACGGCGCCGATCAGAATGGCCTTTCCTGAGCCCAGGGCCACCTCTTCATACATAGCCCTGGTTCCAGAGTATCAATTGCAACGCGCTCCATCTTCAGCTCACGTTTAGAATGACAGCCTTCAAGTTGGAAGGGACCTTGGAGGCCTGTGTATTGCCCGCCAGTGCACAGACCCCTCCAGAACATGCTTGTAGGGAGTGTCTTCTCCCTGCTTAGACTCCTCCTAGCCTGGGGAGCTCACCACTCCCGTGCCCCTGTCGGCTGGCTTCCAGGGCTGCCCAGAAACCCACCTGCCTGGGGTGCACTGGTCAGGGTCCTGCCTGTCTTTGGGAAGGTTGCAGCCCCCCACCCCTTAGCCCCTGGCCCAGGTCCCGCCAGGAATATGACTCCCCCTCTGCGTGAAATCCAAAGTAGTATTGGATGTTGTGGCTCCGGACTTGAGTCCTGAGTGCTGGGGCAAGACGTCACCAGGTATCCCGGGAGCCCAGGGATGAGGACCCTGGAGCCAGATGGTTCCTTACAAATTTTGCTTTGGAAGCCTTGCACATCCATGCAGACCCACACAAGCTGCTGCAACAGGGGTGGAGAAGGGCTGCAAGGCCAATGGGGCAGCTGGACTTTGGGTTTTCTCAGGACTTTTAGACAAATTCCAGGAAGTTAGCTAAGCCCCAACCTCCCATTTTCTAAGAAACACAGCAAGTGTTCATATGTTCTCCGGAACGTACTCTTGCAGGACGTTAATAGCCTTGATTTGATGGTTAGAACTAGAAAGGATCTCCCTCCTTCCCTCACTGCCGCTCCATTTTGTAAACCAAAGCACAGGCCACTGTTCTGCCTTACTTTCACGCAGCCTTCTAATGTTCGCAAGCATGGTAAGATTCACCATCATATGTGTGACTGGTGATGTGTATGTAGAGGTCAGAGCAGGACTCAAGCCAGACTGCCTGGGTTAGAATCCTGGCTCTGCCTCTTACTGGGTGGCTGTATGGCCTTGAGCAAATTCCTTAACCTCTCTGGTCCTTGGTTTCCTCCTCTGTAATGCTACTTCCTTGGGGGTATTGAGAGGCTCAACTTAAGTTCATTCACGAAAAGCATTTAAAGTTGTACGGTAAGAATGTATAAAGGTTTTAGAAGCCTGGCACATAGTAAGCTTTCATTAAGTGTCGGCTTATTATTATTATTATTGTTTTATCACTTGATGTTTCTTAACAACGTGATGTGGCATTTTACTGATCAGGCGTAATAAATAAGGAACTGAGGCTCAGAGAGGTCAGATAATTTGCCCAAGGTCACATGGCTCATAAGTGACACAGCAAGGATTTTAAGCCCAGCTCCACACCTAGTTCTCCCCCCCGTTGCCCAGAGCTGGCCCCTGGAGCTTCCTCTTTGGGCCACGTGTTAATGTCGGTCTAGGCCAACCCACCTTCTCCGAGCCCAGCTGGCTCAGTGTGGTCCCTTTCCCCATAGACGCCCAGAAGTGTGAGCTGATCTGCCAGTCAGAGGACACAGGGGACGTGGTCTTTATGAACCAGGTGGTCCACGATGGGACTCGCTGCAGCTACCGGGACCCGTACAGCGTCTGTGCCCGCGGCGAGTGCGTGGTAGGTGCCCCCCTCCTGGCTGCCCACCCTCTGCCTGCCCCGGGAGACTGGAGGGCTGCACTGCCTCCTTCTGCTCCCTGGGAAGACAGGCATTGCCTCCCCTTCCTCACCCATGACACCCCTTGGTCCTCAACATGACGTTGGGATGCTGGAAAAGGGTTACTGCCCAACCCCATTCGATGGCAGAGGCATGGCCAGGTTTAAGACCTTGCCCATGTCACACGGTGACTCCAAGAATGCCTCTCGGTCCAGGGTCCTCTCCTGTCAGGGCCTGGGGACTGAGGAGGGGGCCAGGGGCTGCCGACCTGGGGGTGGTGGTGGGGCATGGAAGCCTCTTCCCGCTGACCCCGTCTCTGGCTTCAGCCCGTCGGCTGTGACAAGGAGGTGGGGTCCATGAAGGCAGATGACAAGTGTGGGGTCTGTGGCGGCGACAACTCCCACTGCAGGACTGTGAAGGGGACTCTGGGCAAGGCCTCCAAGCAGGCAGGTGAGCAGGTTAGGGCTGGGGGATGACCAGGAGGGGCTGGGGTTCTGGCCCAGCTAGCGTCCCTAGAGCCCGAACCATCCCTTAGGTGGGCCCTCCCTCCTTGAGCCGGGCCACAGTTCTGGTGCAGGGGGGCGCCCTGGAGCCTGTCTCAGACCACAGCTGCCCCCGGCTGTGGTTCCTCACTTTCCAGGCGTGCTGCGCCTGCACTTGGGCTCAGGAGCTCAGAAGCATTTCCTGCTTGGCACTGTGTTGTCCTAGGAACTCAGCCATCTCTTTGGCCTGAGGCTGTTAGTGGGAATGAGGGTCCAGACAGATCTGTAGATGAGGCCCAGGCTGGACTGGTAATTTCCTTTTTGCTCTTCTCTCTCACTTTTTTTTTTTTTTTTTAACTGAAGTGCTTCCTGCTTTGAACTCCTGGTGCCTTAGAGTTCCTTGACTTCCCTCCCCACCTCCAATCTGGCCACACTTGCTGTTGAAAAGGGCCAGATATTAGTCCTTTACACTTTAGTATGAACTAGATTCATTTCCCCTTGGGGAGTGTTTCACCTTTGCCATGCCTCTCCTTGTTGGGGGAAAGTTGATTGCTCTGAGAAAGGTTAGTTTTCAGGCCTCGGATTGGGAGGATCACGGGGGCCCCCCATGCTGGATCTTCATGGCCTATTTCATCAAGATTCCTACAGTGGCTTAAAGTGTGAGAAGAAAGAGGGGAGGGAAAGTCAGGAGAGAAAAGGAGGGTCAAGAAAGTGGCAAATAATAGGAACTAACACACACACAGAGCCCAGTAGTATTTATAGAGCATCTTAAGCTATATGAACTGTGATCCTCTCAGCACCTTATGGAGAAGGGCCCATTCCTATTTTACAGACAAAGAAACTGAGGTTCCTGGGTATCTGTGAGGAGAGGGGGTGATGGGGGATGCTGGCAGTGGGGCTACCAGCTCAGGATGCTCATGGTTTTTCTGGATCTTCCTCTGTGGCAGGAGCTCTCAAGCTGGTGCAGATCCCAGCAGGTGCCAGGCACATCCAGGTTGAGGAGCTGGAGAAGGTCCCCCACCACATTGGTGAGTGCCAGGGTGCCAGGAGATGGGCAGCCAGGCCCTGGGACCTGCCCTCGGGTGTGGGGGGAGCTGGGAGGGCAGAGGAGAGGATTCTAATGCAGAGGGCATTTCATGAGTTCGAATAATGGGAGAGAACCCTTTTTTTTTTTTTTTTTTTTTTTTGGTATGCGGGCCTCTCACTGTTGTGGCCTCTCCTGTTGCGGAGCACAGACTCCGGATGCGCAGGCTCAGCGGCCATGGCTCACGGGCCCAGCCGCTCTGCGGCATGTGGGATCTTCCCAGACCGGGGCACGAACCCATGTCCCCTGCATCGGCAGGCAGACTCTCAACCTCTGCGCCAGCAGGGAAGCCTGAGAGAACACTTTTTTATTTATTGATTGATTTTTATTCATGTTGAAATGGGAACTTGCTCCATGGTTCAAATATCAGAAGGTATGAAAGGAGATCCAGTGAAGATTCCCCCCCCCAGCCCACAGCCCCCATGGGCAGATTTCTTTGGGGGGGTGATGAAAATGTTCTGGAATTAGACAGTGGTGATGATTGCACAGTCACTGAATTGCATACTTTGAAAGGCAGAATGGTTTGGTATGTGAATTATATCTCAATTTAAAACACATAAGCATGGTTTGGCGGAGGCTCCTGGCGAGCAGGTGGGCAAAAGGCCGCTGCCCGCACGTTGGGCTGTGGCTGGGTTCCCCCACACTCATCTCTGCTCAGGCTCCTTACTGAGGGCATGTGGGCTGTGATGTCACTGGGCCTCAGCATGTCACAGAGACCGCTCTTACCCACTGTGCCCACCAAGTCACCCTGCTTGCCACCAGCTCGTCATAAACACGAACCCAAATCCTAACATCTCTGGGCAAGCTTGTATATTACAAAAGTGCTGACTTTTCATATTTTTAGGTTATTATTAAAATAATACAAAACATTTTTAAAGTTTCCTGGAGAACTTGCACTCCCTGGAGAATACATCTGCATTAGCACAGCTGTAAAAATCCCTAAGCTGCTCTGGAGGGCGCCTGAGTGTAGTCCAAGCAGGCATAAGGCACAAGGGGAGACTGACGCGCGAAGTGGCTTGTGGGCCCTCTGTGTGCCCTCATTCACTTGCGGGGTGAGCCAGTCTGGGCCTGGGTCTCCCATCTTCTACCCCGTACCCCTGACAACTGCACCTCTGCACAGGGGGTGTGAGACGGGAGGGCTTTGGCTTGGCCGCCTCCCTGCCCACTTGCCTGTCTGGCTGTGGAGAATTACGCCTGCACAGGGACAAGGAGAGAAGGTCATTTACCCCTGGAAGAGGATGGTTGCTTACAGACACTCCTCCTACTGCACCCCTACAGATGATTCCATAATGTCAGCAGCCCCTTGGGCCCCTGGCCAGCCCCTTCCACCCACGGCCCCCCAACCCCGCTCAGATGTCCAGCCCTTCCAAGGAGCTAGATGGGCTTGTAGGCAGCAGATGGGCTTCCCTGGAGGTCGGGGCAGAGGCTCCTAGCACCTGTGGCAGGCTCTGGGCAGGCACACTTGCTGTGTGTTTATGGGGTGAGGGTTAGAGCTCTCCAGGAGCCTGGGGGAGAGGGAAGCAGAACTGAGACCTGTCGTCAGCACAGGTTGTGTGATTATACGTGTGTGAGATCCACAGCGGCCCTGGTGTAAATGTGCAGAATGTGTATGTGGGAGTGAATGTGTGTGTGCCCGTGTGTGTGCACACGTGCGCTAACAGGGTATGTACTCTCTGGAGAAGCCCGGGACAGGTGGCAGCCTTGGCAGTGAAGGCCGAGGCCCTGGTCCAAATGTGTGAGGCGCTCCTGGAATTTGGGGTCACGGACTCTGAAAGGAAGTGAAGGGAAGACAAGCCGTGCTGTTAATACCCACCGAGTGTGGGCCTTTGCGCTGGCGCTTTTCATTCGTTATCTCGTCGGAGCCTCATGATAACCCTCTTGTTATCCCATTTTGCAGTTGAGGAAATTGAGGCTCCGAGAAGTTAAAAGAGTTGCTGGAGGTACCGAGTGGGTCAGTGGTAGGACCTGGGCTCAGAGCTGGTAGGAGGTAGTGGAGATTCCAGCCCACCACCCCCAGGAAGGCGGGGTGTACATCCAGGGACCAGGGACAGCAGTGGTCGTGAGCTGCGGAGGCAGACAAGGGCCTGAGGAGATGCTCAGCTCTAGCCTGGAGGGTCTGGTGATTCTGGGGGCTGGCAGAGATCAGGTCACGGGAAAGGAGGGGGCGTCTCTCTTCCCACTCAGCAGGGAGGCTGGCCCTCCGGAGAACTGGGCTACCAGCCTCTGTGTGTCCAGGACAAACCCTTGCCCCTCTCAGGGCCTCTGATTCCCCATCTAGATTAATAACAGCACCAACCTTAGGATGCGTGTGAGGATCCCACTGAGGCGGGAGCAGAGTAAACAGCATGTGGTTCATGCCCTGGATCCTTAGCTCTTATAATTACACCAGGTGGGGACACCCCGGGGCTCCAGAGCCTTTGCCATCCCCACCTGGCTGGGGGCTCGGGTCCCACTGTGCAGCCATTCTCTGACCCCTGATGCCTCCAGGGTGAATGAGGCTGTAACTGGGGGGCCTTTGCTGGGGTGCCTGCAGCTACACACCTTCCGCCCGCCGGTCACCCAGCGCCTTTCAGTTACAAGTTGTGAGTTACTCGCTGACTGGGACTTTAAGGGGGAAAAATGAACAGATATTTTTTATACTCCGGCTCTATGCCAGGCCCTGTGCTGGGCTAAGGACGCTGAGATGGAGGAGGTACACTGACAGGCTATGGGAGAGACAGGATATCTGTAATTGCAACAGTGCTAAAAGTCAGGTGCTGATTTGATGACCGTAATAGTGCCTACCATTTATTAAGTGCCAACTGCATGCCATGCACTCTGCCTAGTTCTTTATATATATGAACTCCTTTGATTGTCCCAAGAGCCCTATGGCAGGGTAGGTGGGCAAGGGATACTGCGATTATCCTCATGGGGCAGCAGCCCTATGAGCTAGGTAGAATTACCATTCCCATTTTACAGATGGTAAAACTGAGGCAACACAGGGAGGCTAAGTAACTTTCCCAGATCAATCTGGCTCCAGAGCCTGTACTCTTAGCCTCTATGCTCTGCTGTCGAAGTTGTAGGGAGGGCAAATCCCTGAGGACTGGACAATCAAAGAAGGCTTCATGGAGGAGGGGAGAATTGTGCTGAGCCTTAAATGTGGGTGGAGATTAGTCGGGCAGGAAGAAGGGGAGACAAGGTGAGAGGAATGGTGTGCACTAGGGTCCAGAGGCAGGGGTGCTATGTGGGGGCAGTGGGATGATCCATCGGACTGGAGAAAGGCTCAGGTGGGAAGGAGTGACAGGTGGGCAGGGAGCCCCTAGAGGCCCACTGGGACGGCCTTGAAACCCCTGAGGTGTGGCTGGTGCTCCTGTGGAGGGGAATAGAAATCTGTGTGACCCTCTCCCCATGGCCAGCGGTGAAGAACCAGGTCACAGGCAGCTTCATCCTCAACCCCAAGGGCAAGGAAGCCACGAGCCGGACCTTCACTGCAATGGGCCTGGAGTGGGAGTACGCGGTGGAGGACGCCAAGGAGAGCCTCAAGACCAGTGGGCCCCTGCCGGAAGCCATTGCCGTCCTGGTGAGTCCCCACCCTGCATGGTGGCCCCTACCCCCCCCCCCCCCCCCCGCTTGCTGCCCCAGCCCAATCCCCTAGCTCACTGTCTCTGCTGCTGAGCCAGCGCAGGCCTGGTGGAAATCCTCCTGTTCTGGTGTCTTCAGGAGCCTGGGCAAGGCCAAGATGCCCTCTGTGCTTCGAGGCTGGGAGGATGGCAAGTGAGGAGGAAAAAAGAAATGGTTGTCTCACTGTCTGATCAGAGATGCCCCACACAGGGAGTCTGTTCTCCTTAACACGGGGTCAGAAATAGGGCCCAGGAGGAGCTGGAGGGACCTGGGTTGGTTCCCCCATCGTTCTGCCATCATCCAGTATCCAGTTGCATTATGGCTTTGCCAGCAAGTGAGTCCAGGAGTCCAGTGGCCTGTGGCCCAGGAGTGCTGTCTGGCACTGCCAGCCTCCTGAGAGGGGGATGGGGCCACTGTCCCAGCTGAGGCCCATCTCTGCCCACACCCCCTCTTCCTAGACCATAAGCCAGGGCTTATGGAGCAGGGATTGTTAACTCAGGAGACCAGACCGGGAGGGGCTCTACTGGCACCGGCTGGTGGCAGGGAGACCTTCTACAGGCTTTGTTCCTGGTGCTACCCTCATTAGTGAGGGAGGTCCTAGAGGGCAGGGTCTGAAGCCTATTGATGTCAGCATATTAATTCAGTCCAGCATGTGCTTCCTACTCACCCTATATTTGTTGTCCACCCATACACCCATGGCTGATTAATTTTCAACGAGAGTACCAAGACCATTCAGTGGGAAAAGAAGAATCTCTTCAACTAATGGTGCTGGGACAACCGGATATGCACATGCGGAAGAATGAAGTTGAACCCCTGCCTCACACCATATACCCAAATCAGCTCAAGATAGATCAAAGCCCTGAGTATAAGAGCTAAAACCATAGAACTCTTGGAGAAAAGAGAGGGATAAATCTCATGATCTTGGATTCTTAGATATGATACCAAAAGCATGAGCAACAGCAACAAAAAAGATATAAATTGGTCTTCATGGAAATTGAAAGCTTTTGTACATCAAAAAAGACGTTTTGAAGAAAGTGAGAAGATAACCTGAACAGACTGGGAGAAAATATTGGCAGTCCTATATGTGATAAGAGTGTCTATTGTAGACCATCTTCTAGAGTCAGGCAGTGTGGGTGCTCTGGTGAGCAGGACAGACCAGCAGACATGGTTCCTGCCTTCATTGGAACTTAGGTGTGTGGGAAGGAGAATCACCGATGGGCACACAGGCTGTTCTGAGGCCTGGCACACAGTAGCTGCTTAGCTTGAGTTGTTATTTTTTTTAAAAAACGTCTTTATTGGAGTATAATTGCTTTACAGTGGTGTGTCAGTTTCTGCTTTATAACAGAGTGAATCAGTTATACATATACATATGTCCCCACATCTCTTCCCTCTTGCGTCTCCCTCCCTCCCTCCCATCCTCCCTATCCCACCACTCTAGGTGGTCACAAAGCACCAGCTGATCTCCCTGTGATATGCGGCTGCTTCCCCCTAGCTATCTATTTTACGTTTGGTAGTGTATATATGATGATGGCTATTCTGACCGGTGTGAGATGATAGCTCATTGTAGTTTTGGTTTGCGTTTCTCTAATGATTAATGATGTTGAGCATTCTTTCATGTGTTTGTTTGCCATCTGTATATCTTCTTTGGAGAAATGTCTATTTAGGTCTTCTGCCCATTTTTGGATTGGGTTGTTTGTTTTTTTGATATTGAGCTGCATGAGTTGGTTGTATTAGCCTCAGTTTTGCCATGTGGCTACAGGTCTGAAAGGCCTCGCCAGTGCGTGCTCAGTGCTGCCCCCTCCTGGCCCTCACTGGTTCTGCTTCTGACCCCACATCCTCCCCTTTGACTCCTCCTCCCCGGTCTCCCTATGCTGGCCTTGCTTCCCTGCTCTCCAGTCCTTTGCCACCTCGTCTGTCTCCCTTCAGGTGCTCCCCCCAGCTGAGGGTGGCCCCCGCAGCAGCCTGGCCTACAAGTACGTCATCCACGAGGACCTGCTGCCCCTTATCGGGAGCAACAACGTGCTCCTGGAGGAGACGGACACCTACGAGTGGGCACTCAAGAACTGGGCACCCTGCACCAAGGCCTGCGGAGGAGGTACTCGCTTGCCTGACCGCAGACGCCTTGTGGGAGGAGCGGGAGGGGTCGGGGGCCTGACATCGTCTCCACTTGGCATGTCCCCGGCTCGTGCCTCAGTTTCTCCTTGAAGGTCTCTGGGGTGTGGCAGGGTGCCTGGGCAGGGCCTTGGGGCTGGGCTGGGGGTGCTAGAGCAGTATCCGGGGCAGGACCTCTGCCCTGTAAGGGCTCACCAGCTGCGCGCAGAGACAGCAGCCCACGTCCCCACCTGTGCTATACCAGTGACACCTGAGATGGGCTGGTCAAGGAAGGCTTCCTCAGAAAGTGACTTGGGGATGGGAAGATGCAAAGGCACAGAGGGAGGGGGGATTGGCTGCAGTCTCTCCAGAGCTCACTGTCCCTGAGGCTCTGGGCAGGACAGTGGGGGCCTGGTGAGACTGACCCCCACGGCAGGCTGTCCTCCCTTCAGGGATCCAGTTCACCAAGTACGGCTGCCGGCGCCGACGAGACCACCACATGGTCCAGCGGCACCTGTGCGACCACAGGAAGAGGCCCAAGCCCATCCGCCGGCGCTGCAACCAGCACCCGTGTGCCCAGCCTGCGTGAGTGCTTTCTGGGGGAGGGACAGGAGGCTGACCGCAGACTCTCTCTCTGCCCTGACGTCAGGACGAGGGGCGGGTGAGCCTGCTTCCGCCAGCGCTGGAGGGTGGAGGCACGTAGCCCCCGCAGCCGGGACTTCTTGAGCAGAGAGCACCCACACGCCAGCCTCTGCCCATGGCCCGCGCGGGCTTCCTTGCCCGTCCATCCCCTCTGGGATTTCTGCATTAACTTTCACTCCCAGAAGGAGGAAGATGCTGCCTTTGTTCTGCTCCTCCCAGGATTATTTTACAGATGGGGAAGCTGAGGCCCGATCTGGGGACACAGCTTTCCCTCAGTGATCCAGGGGGTCCATGCAGGTGAAGAGGATTTCAGTGTTTCCAGAACCTAGGCCAGGACGCTGTCTACCAGTTCCTCCCTGCCCAGTCATCTGGGGCCCAGGGATGCGGTCTGGCCTTCCAGCCCCCAGCTGTGGTCTAGCCCCTGATTGGGATTCCCTGGCCTGAGGACACAGGCTCTTTTTGAGCCCAAGGTCATGTTCTTGGGGTTACTTGGAGGTGGCTTTGGGGAGAGGAGAGAGCTATAATCTGTGGAGGATCGATGTCTGGTCTCTGGGCCTGTTGCCCAGCTTGTCCTCAGCCCCAGCAGGCTTCTCTAGTGGCCCCCAGGTAGGGCCAAGGGTGGCTGGCCAGTAGGAAACCATGAAGAGCTGAGTCTATCCTCCTGCCTCCCAGGGTTGGGCGGTTCCAACTCGGCCTTGCTGATCCACAGCAGCTCTGCTCCCACAGGGTAGAGGGACCTCAGAGCCAGGGCGGGAGCTGCTGACCGGTGCTAGAGGCTGCCATGGCCTCCCTGTGCCCGGCCCGGGCCACGATCCCCAGCCCCCTGGCTCTCCATGGTTCTTTTTTATGTATTACTTTTTATTCAGGCCACTTTGCCCACAAACATCTGTGATCACAGAGCATGTGGGGCTAACTCTGCCATGACCCCTAGCAGGTCACCCCACCCCGGCTTGTCTCCTTATCTGTAAAATGTCAAATGAAGTTTCGGGGCTTTTTGTTTTGTTTGTTAAGGGAAGGGGTTGGCTAAAGCCGTCGTTTACTAAATGATGCCTCAGGGAACAGAGGGGAGTGGGAGTTGGGGGCTGCCCCTCCCTCCCCCCCACCAGAGCAGTTTTGCTTTTGTCTAACTCTTCCAGTGGGCGCCTGCTTAAGATGCTGCTGGAAGCTGCTCCGTGGCTAAAAGACGCTTGGAGACTAGCGGCTTAGCTGATCACCAAAGCTCTGCAGGCACTGACGGTGATAATCATAGTACCTGCACTTATGACATGCCTACTGCATGCCGTGCACTCTGCCATGTGCTTTACATATACAGGTCCTTAAATTGTCCCAAGAGCCCCATGGTAGGGGCTTCTACTCTGCAAGCTGTGATTTTCATCTGTTTGTGCTTGGCTGAATGTCAGCACCTAGGACAGTGCCTGCACATGATAGACACGCAAATATTTATGAAGTGTTGAAAGAATCCTGATGTAAAGATGGGGTAACTGAGGCCTAGAGGGGTTAATAGCTTGTCCAAGGACCTGCAGGGTGTCAGGATTTAAATATGCATTATACCCATTTTTCAGATGAGGAAACAGAGGAGAGAATACGTGACCTCCCTAAGGCCACACGCCTGACAGCTGCAGAGCCACGTGGGTGGTTGGCTTGGCCCCCAAGCATTCTGAAGCCCAAACCATCTCTGTGGCTCCTGCCTTTGGTGGTTCAGGGAGTGGGAGTGGCCCTGGGAGGAAGTGTCCCATAGTCCCGCCTTTCCTCCACCTTTCTCCCTGTCTGTCTCCAGGTGGGTGACGGAGGAGTGGGGCACCTGCAGCCGGAGTTGTGGGAAGCTGGGGGTGCAGACTCGGGGAGTGCAGTGCCTGCTGCCCCTCTCCAACAGTACCCACAAGGCCATGCCGGCCAAGGCCTGCCCCGGGGACCGGCCCGAGGCCCGCCGGCCCTGCCACCGCGTGCCCTGTCCAGCCCAGTGGCGGACGGGAGCCTGGTCCCAGGTGAGCTGTCCTCAGGGCGTGGGAGGGGCTGGGCCGACAGGCACCTGCCTTGCAAAGTCAAGGAAGAGGAGGGTCTGGGTGGAGGAGCTGCAGAGAGATCTGGCGCTCCCTGCAGGCCGAGTGTTTCTGGCTGAATCCCTCTCCCCACATCTGATCTGATTTTTCTCAAAACTAAGTCCAACGGTATGCTGGGCCATGGTTTTGGGCTTGGCCTTTATATCCATTCACCATCAGCTTTGACCTTCACAGAATTAGGAGGCCTGGGCTAATATCCCTGTGTTACAGATGAGCAAACTGTAAGACACTCTTGTATTAAGAAATATTTACTGGGACTCCCCTGGATGTCCAGTGGTTAAGACTCGGCACTTCCACTGCAGGGCGCACGGGTTCAATCCCTGGTCGGGAAACTAAGGTGCCAAGTACGTTCCAGGCACACTGTACTAAGAATGCCTGGAACCCACTACCAACCAGGCAGACCTGATTCTTGTCCTCATGGTGCTTACTGTCTAGTGAGGGAGACATAAGAGACAAGTACCAATAACAAAAGCATTGACAGGTTGCAGCTGGAGCTGAGCAGAAGTAAACAGGGTAACATATCAGGGAGGGCCTCTCTGAGGAGGTGACATTCGAGCTGAGACCTGAGGTGTGAGCTATGTGAGATATGAAGACCCTGAGACAAGAACAACCTTGCCATGTTCCAGAAACCTAAAGGACATTGGGACTAGAGCTTAATGAGAGGGGCAGGGGTTACACGACATCTTTGGAGAGTGGGCAGGGGGTCAAATCCTGCAGGGCTTTATGAGGAGTTAGAGTTATTCTAAGAGCAGCGGGAAACTTGAAAGGTTTTAACGTGTATGTCACCAGCTCTGATTTCAGGTTTAAAGATCACTCTGGCAGCTCTGTAGCAAGTTCATTGCTGGGAGGCCAGGGAAGAAAAAGGCAAACAGTAAGAAGGTTGTGGAATAGTCCAGGGGCCACAGGGAAGTTTTTTCAAGTTTGGGGTTTTCTCTTAAAAATGAGTTTGACATGAACCTTGAAGACATTATGTAGAGTGAAATAAGCCAGACACAAAATGACAAATACAGTATGATTCCACTTAATGTGAGACACCTAGAGCAGTCAAATTCATAGAGAGAGAAAGTAGAAGTGTGGTTGCCAGGGACCAGGGGAGAGGGGAATGGGAAGTTAATGTTTAATGGGCACAGAATTTCAGTTTGGGAAGAAGAAACCGTTCTAGAGATGGATGGTGGCGATGGTTATGCAGTAATGTGAATGTACTTAGTGCCACTGAACTGTACACTTAAAAATGGTTACGATGTAAATTTTATGATCTGCATATTTGATTACAATTTTTAAAACCTCATTCGATCATGGAAATAAGCACAATGATGTTTATTGTAACAGCAGAATATCAGGAAATATTCTAAATATCTATCCATAGGAAATTGGACCCCCCCAAAAAAAACCCCATGCTCTATTCATGTAATAAAATACTATACAGCAAGAAAAATGAATAAGCTTGAACCGCACTCATCAATATAGATAACCCTCAGAAAAACAGGCGAGAAAAAGCACTGAAGTATGAAGGAAGTAGCACTACCAATGGGGATACGATTTACTTAAAGTTTAAAAAGGCACAACGCGGTATTTGAAAATGCGCCAGAATACTGATTTACTAAAGTTGCTAGTGGGGGTGTTTGAACAGGCGTTCATGACCAACTTCCTCATACCTTCCTGTAGGCTTGAAATATTGCGTAATACAGAGTATTTTAAAGAACTAAAAATCCCCACACAACCTGTGCAGATTTTATATTCTTCTCCATAATATATAGCTTTATTTGTTTGAATATAAACCAGAAAGACCGCTGATCCATAAAGGGCCCCTTACGTAAAACAGAGAGGTGACAGCTGGTGGAAGATAGTTGCCCCTGTAAGATGGGCAGAGCATTCCAGAGCTATTGCTGTTTGTAATTATTCCTCCTGGGAAGATGAGCCATCTTTGTCCCGCTGTTCTGTGTGGCATGTGACCCTTGTGTCTCCCTTGCTCATCACCTGCCCTGGTATGAGAAGTGGACCTTTGCAAGTCCTTCCCATCCCACTAGGAGAGGCTGTGCTCAGTGCCTACAAACCCGGTGACCTGGTCACGTAGGGCACCCTTGCTTTTCCTGAAGCCACCCCACCCCTTTATCAGAGTATGTGGGTTCCAGGGCATGATATGTGTGGCAGCCCTTTCAAATGGTCTTCTGTTCCTTGTGCCCACACCTTTCCCTCTTAGAGAAGAAGACACTTTTGAGCATGTCTCTACAAGCTGAGTGTTGGAAACAAAGTCATTGAATGTCAGAGCTAGAGGGGTCCATGGTGACCCCATCACCCAGTTCTCTCAGCTTAGCTGTTGTTACAGTCTGGGTTCCTACATCCCCTTAACAAGGTATCATCAAGTGCATGGACCTGCCTCAGGTCCCTTGGGCTAGTGGATGGCAGCAGGGTGATACACAAAATATTTAAGGACCCAGGCACAGGCCAGACAGAGTGAAAACAAGCAGTAGTGCCGGAATGGGGTCCCACAGGCCCCCTCCAGATGGTGGGAAGGTTCAGGGGCTTCCAAGATCGGGGCAGTGGCTCTTTCCCGCCTGGTACAGGAGTATTTGACAGTTGCTGTGCTGTCCTGAGAGCAGTCCTTGCATGTCCCTCTGGTCCAGCAGAGACTTGGCACCCTTCTCTGTCCCCTTTCTGTCCTGGGCACTGGCTGGACTGCAGAGCTCACCGCCTCCTTCCACTGTCTCTCCACACCCCCGCCCCCGTCTCCCCACGGCAGTGCTCCGTCACTTGCGGAGAGGGCGTCCAGCTGCGGCAGGTGGTGTGCAGGGCCAACGCCAGCAGTCTGGGGCAGTGTGAGGGGGACAAGCCGGACACGGTCCAGGTCTGCAGCCTGCCCGCCTGCGGAGGTGAGCCGGGTAGGATGGGGGTCAAGCCCAGCTCCTCTGGCCTAGACCTGAGGCTCAGCTTGGCTGGCTTCCCAGCCCAAATACTAGAGCTGCTTTTCCCCCTCACAGGAAATCTCCAGAATTCCACAGTGAGGGCTGACGTCCGGGAACTTGTGACCCCAGACGGGGAGTGGGTGCCACAATCTGGGCCCCTAGATCCCATAAACAAGATATCATCAAGTAAGTGTATCTCTGGACCCCACCCCCTCCCCATTCTTCCAGTGTTCACGGCATCGTGGGCATGGGCCGTGCAGTGGAGTGGACCCAGCTTCCAGTCTGTCCACGTGACCTTAGCCTCTTGGAGCCTTGGATTCCTCAGCTGTGAGGTGGGGATGATGCTTATATTGGTCCATGATTCCTTATCTGCTGTTCCAAAATATTGAAAGCTGCAAGTGTCCCCCTAAATTTGGTGCAGACTCACTGGGAAGCAAAATCTGAACTGAACTAACGAGAGATTAGTTATTCTTTTGCTACAGAAACATTGCCGTATTTGGTTGCAAGGTGACGTCCAGTCTCCACTGGGGACATTAATGTAAATACACTGAATATTACTCTTCTAACCTCAGAAGTTCTGAATTATGAACCATATCTGGTTCCAAGATTTTTGGATAAGCAATTGTAGTTCTGAGCTCTCTTTATAGGGCTGTTGAGAGAATTAAATGAGATAATGCGTGCATTCCTGCTTAGTAGTCAGCCAACAACAAATATAGTAGCAGTCATTTCTCTCTGCTTCATGATCAGGAGCCCAGCAGCTCACCCTCTCATCTTTCCATCCATCCACCCATCCATCTAGCCACCCATCCATCCATTAACAAATATTAACTAAGCACCTACTATATACCAGGCTCTATGTTCTGTGCTTCCTTCCTAGGTTCCTTCTCTGTTTCCCTTTCTTACCTTCCCAAGGACCAGGGTCTGACAAGATGAGTAGCAGAAAGATCCCAGACCCAAACTCCTAGTTAGAGGATCAGTTGGCTGTGTGACCTTGTACAAATTCGTGAAACTCTCTGAGCTCAGCGACCTCATCTGTAAAATAGAGGGGTCTGATTAAATGTCCTCAAAGGAACTTCTGGCTCCAGTCTTGCTGCTGCTCTGCTCCTGTGTTGAGGCTCAGGCTGTTCAAGTGCTTTGGTTTCCTTTCCTTTTCCTCTGGGAGCAAAGGGGAGCTCTGATTCTGACCCTAGAATTCTAGCGCCATCTAGGGGCCACTGGCTTTCCATTTTCTCTAGTCTCTCTCCTGTTCCCCTAAGCCAGCACCGTACCTTTTCTCTCTTCTCTTTCTCTTCCCCTCCTCTCCTCTTCCCTGTCCCCCTCCTTTTCTCTTTCCCTGGAAAAATTAATAGAAAGCACAGCTCCTGCCTTCACATCATCTGGAGAGACCTACCTGAAGTTATCACAGAAATGCAAAAACATTTTTAGATGACACTTGAACAAAAGCAAACAAAACTAATATAATGAGCACCCCTCTATGCCAGGAACTTTACAAATGCTACTTACAATAATAATATTATTATTCATTGGTAAATGTCAGCATTATCCCCATTTCACAGAAGAAACTGAGTGTTGGACAGTTTAAATGACTTGCCCGAAGCCTTGCAGCTTTTTAGTAATAGAGCCTTGATCGGAACCTAGATCTGCTTGATTCCAAATTTGTTGGTGGGGGGCTTACTGTTCCAAATGTGTGCTCACCAGGGGCAGGACGTTTAAGCTGCTCGTCACAGTGTGAGTAACCCGGGCATCTGCCTGGCCCTGGCCAGAGTGGATCGGATTCCTTTGGGTTGATTGGGAGGTGGTGAGGGCGGGAGGTGGAGGGCTGAGTGGGAGCTGTAACCTGGCTGATGGGCGTCCTCCAGCATCGGTCCTTGTGCTGTGTGTGCAGCGGAGCCCTGTGTGGAGGACAGGTCCATCTTCTGCCAGATGGAAGTGCTTGATCGCTACTGCTCCATCCCTGGCTACCACCGGCTGTGCTGTGAGTCCTGTACCACGAAGGCCTCGGGCCCTGATGCGAGCCCGGACCCCAGCCTGGCCTCACCACCACCCTTCTCCACTCCTGGGAGCCCCTTCCGAGGACCCAAGGCCCCTCCAGAGGCTGTGGAGCCCACTGTGGGACCAGCGGGATCAGACGGCTATCAGCATGGCCAAGCCACACAGCTCCCAGGACCTCTGGGCACAAGCTCCGCAGTGAGCCAGCGCCGCTTTGCTGCCCAGAAACGGAACCCTACAGTATTCTGGGACACTTCTCCTAGTGCCCCCCGGGGACTGCCCTGGGGCTGGGCTGGGGCCCCTACACCAGTCTCGGAAGATAAGGGGCAGCTCAGGGAAGACCCGAAGCATCCAGGCACCAGCCTTCCCACCACCTCCCCGGTGACATGAGCCTGGCCTTGCCCATCCCTCCGGTCAAGTTTACATGCTCTGTGCTGCCCCAGACATCCCAGCTCAGAGGACACACAGCGGGGCCGGGGCAAGCACGGACTGCCTTTTAAATTATTTGCCTTCTTATTGTTCTAGTTTGGGGCTGTGACACTTTTCACCCCATGAAGTGGGTCTATGAGGAAGAAACAGATCAGGGAAAGCCCTAACCGGAGATACCTCAGCAAGCAGCCCAGGTGACCGAATCAAACCTCTCAGGGGCTCCTGGCTGTCTCTCCTGCCAGGACTGAGGGCCAGCTAAGTCCCCCCAACACACACACACACACACACACACACACACACACACACAGCCACCAGGCCTCACACTGCCTCCCTTTGCCAGAAATTGTGGGGACCCCTGTGGAGACCCCGAGTACCAGGCTCCTCTGCCAAGAGGGGCAGAGCAGGGCCGGGGAAGGTCGGGGGAACCCTCACAGGGTGGTCCAAGAGGAAGTGGGCTGGGGCCGAATGTGGTCGTGAGGCTCCAGCTGCAGGGCTAGGGTGGGCGGGAGGCCGGTTCATCTCACACCCAGCTCTTCATAGCGAGAGCTCCAGACACCTCCTCTGGCCATGGCCAAAGGGCAGAGTCCACCTTGCACTTGCTGGCTGGAGGGCCATGTTGGTGGCCACCTCTGCCCCTGAAGGTGGCACTTCCTATTACTTCCGGTGCCTCCAGTTTACAGGTGGGCCTTTTAACCTCACCCCAGGCCCCCCTGAGAAGGGGGCTCTGGACACTCTGGAACATGTGTCCTCATCATCCAGGGGGTCCCCAGCTGGTGCTAGGCCCCCTGGCTGGACCAGGAACGGCAACTGTGGTCATCACTCCGGCGCGTGAAGAGAGCACGGGCTGGAAGGTGACTTTGTGGGGCACAGAGGAGACGTGAGTTCTCAGGCTGAGCCCTGCCAATCATTGCCCTCTACCAAAGACCACTCCTGCTGGAGTCAGGCGTCTTCTTCTCCCACCCGGCTTAAGCTGGACTGGAGGTCCATTTGTGGTACTGGGTGCGGGTGCGGGGGTGACCAGGCTCCAGGGCTGAGGACCGGAGTCCACTCATAGCCGGGTCCTGGGGATGACAAGGGCCAAGTGCCCCAGGGCAGGACGTGAGCATCTGCCCCTCGTGCAGGTGGGGAGGAGACAGCACTGTGGAGCCTCAGCTGCACCCATGTTACCTCCAAGGGCAGGTAACTTCCCTGGGCCCTCTGGCTCTCAGGAAGCCACCCGGTTCCCGGGACCTCTCCCAGGGATGCTCACTCAGTCATGCAGAGGGTCTCCCAGACTCCTCAGCAGGCCGTAGAGGTGCTGGCTAGTTCTCCTGTTCCAGGGCAAGGGGGCCACTCTGAGCCAGGCTAGAGGAATAGGAGCAGTGGGCCCCGGGCGGCAACCCCCGGAGAGTGGAGGCCCTAGAGGGGCTCCCCAGGTGCCCTCTCCGCCCGCTGCCTGCCCCCTCCCGGCAAGGCTGGGGCACACACTGAACCATTCCTGCGTGACCCAGCCTGCCTGTGTTAAGTGCCTTTGAGATCCAGATCCTTACAATTTTATGTATTTATTAACATTGTCCTTGGTGTTTGTTTTGGACCCCAGAACGTTGTGCTGTGTTTTTCTTTTTCTCTCTGTTTTAGTGGAAAGGGCCAGCAAAGCCAGAGCTCTAATGTGCTGGGCTGGTAAGATGATTGGGGTTGGGGGTGGAGAGGGAGGGAAGAGAGCCACGAGAAGACTCGGCCCCCAGCCTCCCCGCCATGGCCCTGCTTGCTCTGGGGCTCCTCTAAACACCACCTTAGGGTGGAGAGGCAAGAACGGGCCTGGGGGTCCTACTTAGGCTCCTCCACCAAGTAGCTGTGTGACCTTGGGCAAGTCACCGTCCAGAGCTTGGTCCAAAGGGTGGAAGCACCTGGGAGGTAATTTGGGGGTCGGCATAGGGAAGGACGTTCTAATGAACTTTCAAACACACAGGGGGTGTCTCCCTTGGAAGGTGGTGAGCGCTCTTTCCCTGGAAAAGTCCGTGCAGGAGGAGGATGCCAGACAGGAGGTGGAAGGAACGTGATGCATCTTACTGGGTAGGGAGGGCCAACATGCAAGGTGCTGTATAATTTCATACTACCCCTTGCCCATGACAGACATCATTAATCCTTACCACACCCTTTCAACGAGTGTATCACAGGCCCCTCCCTGACATTTGTGGGGCCCAGGGCAAGAGGAGACCCCTGTCCAGGGACCTCACACACCTGTGTGTGTCTAGGCCTCAAGTCCAAGCTCCATTTACATCCCTGTGCAAACAGCTTCCCCTTGGAAACTGCCCCTTCTAAACAGCTACCACTTGGGCCTAGAGGTGCCTACATGGTGAGCCAGTCACACCTTAGGGGAACTGACCTAGGGAGATGCTACCACAGGCCCTAGATTTGGGACCATTCGGGCGGGGCATTCTGTGGGCCATTGTACTCAGAGTGTAGCCTGCAAGGAGGGAGATCATGGACCCTGGGTGGGCACATGCCCTTGGTGCAGTGCAGTCCTTGCCATGGTGGGTAGTATGGGTGGAGTGGGGCCCTCTAAGAGCCCCAGCACCCCAGCTCTGACAGCAGTCCTGGCACATTTCATGGGGCAGGGATAACACATGGAAACACATGCCGATGCTTCCCCATCTCTTGCCCATGGCAGACATTGCCAATCCATCAGTGCCTTCTGCCCCTAAGAGTCCTTCCCAGAGTGTTCCAGGTACTGACCTCTGATCAGCTGCCATCAGCAGGACAAGGAGTCCTAATAAAGAGGATAATACTCGGCTGCCTGTACCACTCATGCCGGTGGCAGGGCGATCATAAATGGAAACATCTTTGGCTTTGACGAGGCGCCCAGCAACAGGGAAGTAACGTTCTTGGGGGCACAAAACCAGACGCACAAACAGCAACCGCCACCACAGACACTTACAGCATTTCTTCTGGTAGTTCTGCGATTTGCTGCCTGAATTGTCATAGTTAGTAATGAGCTGTGACTCAGGGAAACCTCAGCTGCGGGGTGGCCCTGGTGAAGTGTAGAGGATTGGGAAGCAGCTAAGGAAGAGGGTTTTTATCTTCTTTCCCACAATTTAAAGTATTATAACTAACAAGGCTACACAATTTTTTTTGGTATGAGAAAACCAGGTTTATCTGCTGTTGTCAGTTCTAGAGTATTGCAAACAACAAGATCATAGATTTAAAAAAAAAAAAAAAAAGGACAGCTCATCCGGCCGTGCCACAGGAGTGGGCCAGAGTCAGGGGTTTAGGCTCCTCTAAGCCCCCAGGCCTCCACCTGTGGAATCCTTCCCCTTTTCCAGTCTCCCGGTGGCCCTCCCATCCCTGAGGGGACTGTGGTCTTGGAAGCCCAGGCCACGGCCCTGACCAAAAGTTACCTACACCCTGTTTAGGATGCAGAACGCTACAAGATATCAGTCCTACCCTAACGATGAGAAGAAGCTAATAATCTACAAAGTCATACCTCTTAGCCCCAGGTGGATTAAATTTCAGAGGGTGACAAGTCCCTAGAAGAGAGAGGGCCCATGCACTCTTCCACCTCTGGCAGAACATGGAAGAGCATGGAAGAAAGTGGTCAACAGAGAAGCAGAAAATGCAACTGAAATTTTAACAGATTTTTAAAGGTTAGGGTGACAATTTGGAATCATAGGGAGCCCCGTGCGCAGGGCAGTCTACACCTACTCATCCCCTCTTCTCCGCAGGCCTCCTCTGGATGCACACGAGGAGTATCTGGGGCAGGACAGGAGAGCCTCGACAGCATCCCCGGGGGCTCCAACCAAGTTTGAGAGTGCAAATTAAGAAAGCAATACCTGTTCACAGTGCATCAGGACATAAAATACCTGTACATGAAAAACTATAATGCCTTGCTGAGAGAAACATGAGAATATCTAAAAGAAGCCTCAATATTGTTAAGATATCAAATTCTCCCCAAAATGATCTATAAATTTAATGTTATTCCACTCAAAATTCCAGCAGACTGCGTGTTTTTTAGAAATTGGCAAACTGATGATAAAATTTTTATGGCAGATCTAGAATATCCAAAACAATTCTGAAGAAGAACGAAGTGGGAGGATTTACGCTACCTGATTTCTAGGCTTACTGTGAAGCTATAGTAACCAAGACAGTAAGGCTTTGGTGTAAGAACAGACTCACAGAACAATGGAACAGAATAGAAAGTCCAGAAATAGACTCACACAATCGTGGTTAGTTCTCAACAAAGTGCCAAGGTAGGTCAATCAGGACAGGGTAGTCTTCCAATAAATGATGCTGGAAAAATGGAAGATCCGCGTGGAAAAAAATAAATCTGAACCTTCACCTCATATCATGTGCGAAAATTGACTCAGTCAAAATGGATAATCGACTTAAAGGTAAGAACTAAAACCATAACACTTGCCGAGGAAAAACATTTTTAAAAATCTTTGTGACCTTGGGTTAGACAAAGATGACAATAAAAGTATAAACCATAAAAGAAGAGCTTGACAAATTGGACTTGGTCAAGACTAAAAACTCCTACTCTTCAAAAGACAGTGGTGAAAAAATGAGAAGGCAAAAAACAGAAAAAAACGAAACCCCACAAGCTGGGAGAAGATATTTTCACATCATATATCTGATATTGGACTTGTATCCAGAATATATAAAGAGTTCTTAACCCCCCCAAAGAATGGACAAAAGATTTGGACACTTTACTAAAGATATACAGTGACAAATAGATACAGGAAAAGATGCTCAACGTCATTGGTTATTAGGGAAAGGCCCATTAAAACCACGAAGAGATCCTACTTCCTACCCATTAGAACAGCTAAAAGTAACAAGATTGACCACATCAAGTATTGGGAGGATGCTGGGCAACTGGAACTCTCATGCATTTGGGTGGGAATGCAAAGTGGTAGAGCCGCTTAGGAAAACATTTGGACTGCTCCTTATAAAGTTGAACAATACACTTACCTACAACCCAGCAACGACTGCCCTATGTACTCACACAAGGGAAATGAAAACTTTTGTCCACAAAGCAACCTGTATGCAAATGTCCATTAACAACTTTATTCAAAATAGCCTTCAGCTGGAAACAACCCAAACGTATAGCAAATAGTGAATGGATAAATAAACTGGCGTATCCATACAACGGACGGAATACTACTCAACAATAAAAAGGCGTGAGCCACTCACACGTACATGCATGCATCAACACGCACAGATATTCACAGCGTTCTGCGAAGTGAAAGAGCCAGGCCCCAAGAGACTACACACCAGGTGAGTCCCTCCACAGGAGATTTTGGAAAAGATAAAACCCTGAGGACAGAAAACAGGTGACTAGTTGCCAGGGCTGGGGGTAGGAAGGAGACTGGGAGTGGGCATGAGGGAACTTTGTGGAGAGCTGGAGATGCTCTGTACCTTGATTCTGGTGGTGGTTACACACATTTGTCACACACATTTTCCTGTGTGAAAATTATATCTCAGTTAAAAAAAAATTTTTTTTAATCACATAACCAGGGTAATGGGAGATCTCTGTCACCCAAGATCTCTGCGAAAACGCTGCACTGTTTTCCTGGGGAAAACTGCTCCCCTCCCCCAATTGGACAGCGATTCTTTTGACTCCCAGCATCACCATTTACCAGCTGGGTGGAATTGGAAGTTATTTTACCTCTCTGATCCTTAGACTCTCATCTGTAAAATGGGCATACTTTTTCCCTGTCGGAATTGCTGATCACTCCTTGAGCTGCTAAGCGCAGTGTCTCTGCCTCCCTAGGCTGTAGGATGCTGGAGGAGAGGCATGATTCTTTTCTTATTTGTATCTTTCTCTCTCCACCCCCTGCCTCCCAAAAGGCCTCAGCAGCGGCCTCCGGGACTCCTGGCTGCGTGCTGCTGGAAGAAACGTGCACGGACAGCCAGAGGCGCCTCGGCAGACCCTCCGCTGCTGGGCGAAGGTCCTGTTCCTGCTGCCAGGACTCCCTGGGAGGGGGTGGCCACCAGGGCTGGCGGCGCCTCATCGCTCCCAGAGAGGTGGAGGCAGCAGGGCGCCCGCCAAGCTCAGAGTCCCCCTGGGACAAGCTCAGGGAGGCAGGGGGCCTGGCTCCACACCAGCTCTTGGACCCACATGCAGCCTGCCAGGCCACCGCCTCCCTTCCGGCCTCAGCTCCCTCATTTGCAAAATGGGGATATGGAACGACTCACAAGGTTGGTTTAGAGCAAAGGAGAAAGTGTCTATGAAAGTGCTTAGCAAGTGAGGAATTACTATTGTTCCTAAAACTCTGATGATGGATAATAACATTAAAGAGAGCTGGGGGTGGGGCCGTTCAGTTCTGCCTCACAGGGGTCCTGCCAAAAGCCATCCAGTGGCTTCCATTGCCCTTAGGGAGAAGGCCGAAATCCTTCCCGCAGCTGCCAAGGCCCTGCCGGTCTTCCTCAGAGGTTGTTTCTCCAACCTCTGCTTCAGAGAATTTGGTGCACTTGTGAGTTGATCTCCGTGGTGACTGAATAAGGCCTGTCTGCCCCCTAGACCGTGAGCCCATGACGGCGGGACTTGCCCTTAATAAATGCAGCATTTGCAGGATAAACAGGGATGCACAGAGGTGGTGGGTTCCCTGCCTCCCTTCAAATTCCCACAGGGCTCCCTAGATTCTTCCTGGGGACCGGGCCCTGGAAACCAAGAGGCAGCTGGAAGCCAGGAGAGGGGGTGAGCAGCCCGCCGGGCCTTGCAGCTGGAGGTCGTGTCTCCTAGGAGGAGCCTGTCACTGGCTGGTCGGTAAGAGGACACTTAGGCCTTCAGTTCATACAAGATTAGCAGCAGGAGAATGTGTAGAAAGGTCTGACCCCCTTGTGCAAATGGGGAAACTGAGGCCCAGAGAGACCAAATGACTATGCCCAAACCAAACCAGTGGTAGCAGCGTCCAGGCCAGGAGTTAAGATTTGCCTGTGCTCATGCAATATGTTCCTGACAGATCTCACATCTCCTCTTAGGCCAGTGGTTTCCCACCTTCTGTTCCATCTAAGCTCCAGGTGTTACCATGTGGGTTGGGGGGAGCATAGGCCCTGGTGAGGGAGACGATGGGGGCTCAGAAGCCTCCTGTGGAAAAGAGCAGAGACCAGATTGCCTGGCTTCCAGTTCTGACTCCATCACTCACTGTGTGATCTTTGGCGAGTTACTTAACCTCTCTGAGCCTCAGTTTCTTCATCTATAAAATGGAAATAATACATATTTCACAGGATTAGTGTGAGGATTAAGTGGTTTATTTTTGCATGCGTTGCATACGTGTTTGTGGTACGTGTAAAGCCCTTAGGAGAGTGCGTGCACATGCCAAGTGCTACGTACGTGTTAGCTGCCATTTCCATCCTATTCCTCCCTCCCCCAGCTATTCCTACAGCCTATCGAGGGGAGAGTGGTGGTGAGGGTCCCATACAGCGGATGCAGGGGGTCTGGGGATGGCTGAGGGGACAGGAACATCTCCAGCATTCTGTCCTGCTCCGGGCTACTGAAGTTCAGGAAGTCCGTGTGCGGCCAGGGAGACTCTGAGTGGAGGTGGCCACGTCCCCCAGGGAGGGTTGGGGGTGGACGCAGGCCAGGTCACACTGTGGAGGCTGAGAGGATAGGAGGAGGGCGCAGCTGAGAGAGGCTTTCAGCCACGCAGGGATGCTGGGTAGGCACCCATCCCAGGCAAAGGGAGCTGGAGGTGTTCATCCATCTCTGGGCAGTTGGGTGAGCCTTTGGTAACGTCCCTTGGGGGGATGCTGATTCAAGGCAAGGGTCCCCTAGTACAAAGACTGCCGAAGGCTGGGGGCGACAGTTTGTGAGCAAGGGGGCTCCGTGAGAGCTGAGTGGGAGGTGGCAGTGGGCGGAGAGAGATGGGGGAAGGGGGGAGTGGTGGTTGAATGCCAGGGGCTAACAGCGGAGCTCTTCCCTGGGACGCACACAACTCCTGCAAAATCTCCAGAAATCCCAGATGCTCACGATGACTGGATTCCTCCTGACGGTTTGTGCAGGAACCAAATTCTGCATCTGGGTTGGTATGAGGGGCAGAGCTGGGGCCACAGGCAGTGGTCCCCCAAGTCCCTATGTTTGCAGGAGCCCCAGAAATCTTCAAACTATGGGAACCTGGAGGGTTCAAGGATTTCTCACCTGGAATGCCATGGGCAGGGGGATGGAGGGTCACAGAGCCACAGGGGACTAAATACTGGGCAGGAGCCCTGAACCAGCAGCCTGGGATGATATTTTTTGCTAATATATACTGTACTTGGGTCTGACACTGGCATTGGGCCAGTTTGCAAGGTGCTTCCACTAAATAATCTCATTCTGTGTTTCATTATTCCACCTTACAGATATGGCCACTGATGCACTGAGAATAAAGGGACCTGTCCAAGGGAGGCATCCAGAGCTAGAAGGTGAGCCCCAATGGGGGCTCAGCCCCAGAGCGTCTGGGCCCTGCACCTAGGAGGCCGGTGAGTGAAGGGACTTAGCCCTAAGTCTCCGGGCCAGGCCGAGACAGGCGAGGGGCATTTGCTGGGTAAGCGGTGAGGAGAGGGGGTGCTTCCCACCTGCAGCCCCTCCAGCTAGCTCCCCAGGTTCCCGGGGCACCCTCTGCTGGGGGGGGTGGAGCTGGGTGGGGTGGAAGAGGGATGTTGGGGGGCAGCCTTGCACCCCAGCTCGGGAGGGCTGGGGCTCCAGGGTGCGCGGGTCCCACCTCGCTGTCCTAGGGAAGGGTGTTCCTTCTGTGGCCCCTTGACCTTCCCACCCACACCGGGCACTGCCAGGCTGGCACGAGGCTTCCACCATGTTGCAGGGTAATAAATCTCACGCTTCACTGAGGCCCGAATTGCAGGACTGCACTTTATCTCAGCGTTGTGCTGTAGGAAAGAAAAAAAATCTTTGGGATTCAAATGTATGAAAGTCTCATCCTGTTCTAAACGTAACTAGGGGAGCTCACTAAAGAAACCTCAGGAGGCTTTGATAGAGCAATCACCACTGACAAAAGAAATGTCACTGAAAGCAAATGACTGGAGCCACTCTTGCCTTCTAATTGAGCAGCAGAATTTGTATCACCGAGTAAGTGGGTCTGCGCTGCTGGGGGCGCTGAGAAAAGTGAGGCTGCATAAGGGGCCCCTTGTAACCACGGAGAGCACCCTTAATGCGGAGAGAAAATGGTTGTGGAGACGGGTTGGGGGGAGCCACAAAGACAGAGATGGCAGCGGGGGCAGGTGGGAGCGGCTGGGGGCTTTTTAGGATGCAATTTGCATAATACGTGTAATATTTAATTGTTCTGGCGTGGCTGTCCCCTCAGTCCTTTGGGAATGTCCAAATTAAGGGCTTTGCATGAGTCAGGATTTTTGTTTATTTCGGTGGAAATTGAGAGAAATGAACTGATGCATGGGTGAAGGTAAAGGGGTGAGCACAGCCCTGGAAATCGGAGCTCAGCAGGCAGTCCCTCCCACGCACACGCTCACTCCGGGAAGTCACAGAAATACTGAGGAGGGCCCCAAACTCTGCGCAGAGATTCTAGCCGCTTGAGGACCTCAGGGGGCAGGAACCCCACGCCGACGTGTGGGTTTCAGTAGAGAAATCGCCTCTGCTTTAGCGACTTTGTTGACATGGCATGTATTTGTGTTGGGGTAGTTGGGGTAGTGCCCATCTGCAGGCGTACCCCACTTCTCTCCCACGGAGTCAGAGCCTGTCTGGACTTGGAAGGAGCCTGAAAATTTTCTGGACCCTCAACTTTACAGAATGGGGAGATGGGCCCAGGGAGGAAGTACGTACATTCTCAGGGTCACACAGTGGGCTATGGCAGCGCTAGGTGGCTCCTTTTGTCAAGTGGGTCTCAAACCCAGAGTGAGGAAGAGGCTGGAGTGGCAGGGGCAGGAGAGACACACTGGGGGCAGGGAGGCGACAGGGCCTGGCTGGTGATGGGAGTGGGGGAGCTGGCCAGCTACTGCCCGGGTTCCCCGCAGGCTCTGCCCGGAGGTGCCTGGGGGAGCTGGGCAGGAATGAAGAGACCAGCACTGGCTGTTGCTTGTAGGGAGAAGGGCAGAGAGAAGGCACCCATCGCACACCCACAGTCCCTAGCCCCGGCTCTACCACCCCACCCGTCCACAGAGGATGTTGTTATTCCGTGGGGAGGTGGGTCGCAGCCGGCAGAGTCCCCTGCACCACCACCACTCGGACCCCATGTCGGGGAAGCCCAAATGCCGAGCTCCTGGGTGAGTCCTTACCGTGTGCTGGGAGGCCCTGCCCCACCAGCCTATTCTAGGCCTGGAACCTTTGGTTCTGGTGGGGCAGCACCCACCTGGAGGTGTCTCTGGCCCCCACCGTAAAGGGAGAGGGAAAGAGTGTGTTCTTCCTGGGCCCGCACCTCATGGGTCAGGCCCCACCAAGGCCATGGCGGCTGAGGCTCCAGGGCTGCCAGCACCCACCAAACACCTTCTGAGAGGCAAACACCAGAACCCAGCCTCAGTGAGTCGCGGGGAAGGGTGCAGAGGATGGGCCGGGGCGTCCTTGGAGGGCTGGCATGGGCGTGGATGAGACGCTTACACAGCCTGTCCAAGTCCTAGGGAGCTGTGAGGATGGAATAACCCATTCTCTCTCCCTTCTACCCAAATGGTAGCTCACAAGGGCATGAAAAGAGGACTTTGGTCTCCCTTCCTGCAGCCAGAGAGTCTTAGAATAAGGAAATCTTAGAATTTTTGAATCATAGAATCCTAGAAATACTTGATATTGGGATTCTAGGAATAACTGAAGCATAAGATTTTAAAACACATTTTAATGCACCTTGCTCTTTTATTTACCGTCGTATCTTGGAGAATGAGAAAATATGTTAAAAAAGATACTAGTAGTTTTCTTTGGGGTCTTGACTCTATTTTTTACTTTTCCCAATTTTCTCTATTTTCCAAACATTTGCAATGAGCATGGATTTTTTTTTATATATAATGAAAAACAATAACATTTAAAGATAGCACGGTGCCTCTCATTACCAGAGGTGGTAGGCTCTTATAACTGAGTGGAGGCTAATAATGTCCTGTTGGCTGGGTCAGTCCTTTTTTTTTCCTCACATGCAAAAACATTGGAAAATAAGATTTGTGTGTGTGTCTTTTTTTTTTAATTGGAGTATAGTTGTTTTACAATGTTGTGTTAAAACATAAGATTTTAAAATCAGTTGCTAAAATATAAAAACCTCACACTTGCAGAATCTTAGGAAAAAAGACACCAACCTGCCCAGAGAGGTGCAGCAGCTTAGAACTTTTGGCCAGGGGCTCTCGGAGGACTTCAGAATCACCTGGTCCAGCCACTCCATTTATATCTGAGGACTCTAGCGAGAGGGCAGGGACTTGTGCGAGGTCACCTTCTTCTGTGGCTCCCATCTCTTCCAAGGGTGGCAGTGCATCTCCCGGCTAGCAGGCAGGCAGGGGGCCGTGTGATGTTGCTGGCCACTCCTGACCCTGGCCCCAGTGCTGTCTCAGACTGGGGCTGCGCCTGAGGGAGACGGACCAGATCCAAGGTCTGGGGGCCTCCAGCCTTGTCCCCATACAGTGTGTCCACCTGGCCAGGGGGAGGGGGCAGAGAAGCCCTTGAGAACAGGAGGTCATAGGAAGTGCCTGGTATAGGGGAGAAACTAAAACAGTGTGTTTTGAGTGAGTGAATGAATGAGTGTTTGTGACGGTCTTAGTGATTAAGAACCTGGAGTAGGACAGACCTGGGACCTGAGTCTTGGCTGTGCCAGTTAAGCACCATGTGGCTAGGTGACGAACCTCCCAGTGACGATACCCGTACCCGTATCACAGGTCGGTGAGGACTAAGTGAGATCCTGCCCGATGCCTGATACACAGCAAGCGCTTGCCGAGTGCTAGCTTCATCGTCATTATCGTGAATATTAGTAACAACAGCAAGCGGCCTTAGGACTAGCACCGAGGGCCAGGCCTCTTTCCATTGCAATGTTGGAAACATCCCTCACTTCTTTTAGCTTGGAAAGGTTGCACAGGAATGATGGAGAGCAGGGTCCAGGTGTCAGGCTGCCTGTCTTTATCCTGGAGGCGGTTCTCAGGGCCCGTGCAACTGCACGGCTGTGTCCACGCCTGCCCCACGCTTGGCAGAGCCCTGATGGGGTGACCAGATGCTCAGGGTCTGTCAGCCCTCACTCGCTCTCAGAGCCCTGTCGTGGTCTGCCAAGCTTTCTCTGGCCATGGCCACCTTCCTGCAAGGGGCCACCACAGCTGTCACCTTAGGAAGCCTCCTGGAGCTCTGAGTCTCCTTGCCCTTGGAGCAGTAGGGACAGGTCTGTGTTGGGGTAGGAAACGTTTTCCTCAACACTCTTGGGGTCCCTGTCTGGGTCTGAAAATTAAACCGGTAAAGACAGATTTATAGGAGAAAAGCACGCAGATTTGTTTGATAGAAGTTTTATGTGTCATGGGAGCCTTCATAAGAATATGAAGACCTGAAGAAACAGGCCTTAGTGTTTCTGTGCCGGGGGTGATGATGGGTGGGTAGTCGTGCGAGGGTGACGGGTTCAGGACTGTGAGGTGAGTGTAGGAAACTGGGGACACGTAGTAAGTCCTGTGTGTTAGGATTCTTCTCGCTGACCCTTTGTCTTCAGAGCTGGAGGCTACTTTCCTCTGCGTATAAGGGCACCTCTCCCTTGAGGGATTATGACCTGCTTCAGAGGAGAAGGACGGGGGAAGGGCAGAGTGACCTTCCTGCTTCTGTTGTTTCCGCAGACTCCTTCAGATTAAACTATTCAGTATGCCAAGGTGCCATATGTGGGGGCAGCGTTTCTTAAACTCCATCACCTGCGTAGATTACCCTCACTGTCTTGCCCACGTGGCCTGGGAGGTCCTCACTATGACTGTCCTCTGTGCCCAGATGGCCTCCCTGGGGCTCCAGCCTGTGACTTCTGTTGGGACTCAGCTGTTGGCCCTGGGGCTCTTGTGGAGAGGGGGAGGGAGATGGGAGGGAGAGGGGGAGGGAGAAGGCTATATCTCAAGGAGGGCAAGAAACTCAGCTTCCCAATCTTCTAGGGGAGCAGCCAGAGCCTTGTCACGTTCCCGGAAACAGCCAGCCTCCGTGGGGCAGCCTGGCCTCTGGTCCCTTTCTTGCTGGAAACCACCTCCTGGTGGACCTCCAGGCTGTCCACCTGAGACGACCAAGCAGGCAGAGGAAGAGGGGAAGACACAGAGCCTCTTGACCTGGAACTCCGAGGAACACCTGTTCCCTGCATCACTTCAGGTGCCTGAGGGCTTGGGGGAAGGGGGAGGTGTGGGTGGAGGTGGAGGTTTAGGGGGTGGGATCACAGCTGGGGAGGAACCCAGCTTCCACTGAGGAGAAATCCCCAAGGCCTGCACCCCAGATCTTTTTCTCCTTGAAAAAATTGCACAAGGCATATAGGCTCATTATTGAAAAAAATCTATAAAACTGATGAGAGAAAAAAAAGTTCGTGTTTCTACTTAGCAGACATATTCAGATATGTGCATTTATGAAGTGCATGTGTAAGGGAGTATGTTTGTACACACACACACATACACATACACAGGATGTTACTTTGTGTGCCATCAGTAACTTCTCCCCTCCCTACTGCCCCTGCAACAATATAAGAATGACAGCTTTCCATCCTGAAATATGTCAAGCTACATATCTACTTTTAATGACACATAGTACCCCATTGTATGGCAAATTATCATTTATTTAACCAAATCCCCTAGTACCATAAATTGAGGTTGTTTCTAAATTTTGTTATTGTAAACAGTGATACAAGGTTGATCTTTTCATGTTTACCTCATTTTTCTCAGAAGACATTTCCAGTTAACTTCTGAAGTTAACTTTCCAGAAGTTAACTGGAGTGAAAAGTGTACCAAAACCACATCTTGAAGGCACCTGATATATATTTCCCAATGCCTTCCAGAAAGGATGTTTACATTTTAGTCTCTCCAATGGTGTAAAAGCACCACAGCCCAAATATTAAAAATTTTGGTTTTTGTCATCTTCTCTCAAAAATCTTACGGAAGAAGTCTTGGGCATCCAAACAGATGACGTTATCAGAACTTTTTGAATTCGCTGTCTGCGTGGTGAGAATTGACATTCATAATGTTGTCCCCAAGAGCATAGGACATTCAAAGAGCCTTCTAAATCACTGTCTCAGGGACTTCCCTGGTGGCACAGTGGTTAAGAATCCACCTGCCAATTCAGGGGACACGGGTTTGATCCCTGGTCTGGGAAGATCCCACATGCTACAGAGCAACTAAGCCCGTGCGCCACAACTACTGAGCCCGCGTGCCACAACTACTGAAGCCCCTGCGCCCAGAGCCTGTGCTCCTCAACAAGAGAAGCCACTGCAGTGAGAAGCCTGTGCACCACAACGAAGAGTAGCCCCCGTTCGCCGCAACTAGAGAATGCCTGCGCGCAGCGACAAAGACAACGTAGCCCCTCCTCCAAAATAAAATAAAATAAAATAAAGTACTTCTAAAAAAAAAATCACCATCTCAGCTGATCCTCTTGCCAAGTGGTCAGCAAGATGTAGGAGGCAGAATACTGGTCTGGGGGGTAGGAGACCCAGATTCTAGTTCAGCCGTCTTCGTGTCTGACCATTAGTGTATCACTTTACCCATCATGTAGAAGATAGGAAAAGCCATCTCTGGACTGAGCCTTCCGCGGGGCAGTCATGAAGATTGGGACAGTGGCCATGAGATCCCTTTGTGTTAGCCTGCCCCTTGTATGGAGTTATCAAGGAAGTAGGTGTGGTATTAGTAATGTGGCTTTCATTCTAGATTAATTTCTGGAAATGAGTGCTTGAGTGTAGGGAAATAACATTGCTAACATTTATTGAACACATACTATATACCAGGCACTGTGACATGCCACCTAATATCTCACTAAATCTTTACAGCAACCCTATGAAGTTGGTGCTATTATCATTCCCATTTCACAGATGAAGAAACTGAGACTCATAGAGGTTGAGTCACTTGCCTAAAGTCACACAGCTAGCAAAGGGTACAGACAATCTCTATATAGGCAGTTGAGGGGAGATCGTGCAATTGACAAAACACACACCTGTAATTCTGTATGCAGGACAGCCTCAGTTATCCAGTAAGTGACAGTCTTTGCAAAAAGAAAAGGGCTGGGGCTCCTAGTATCGAAATCCACTTACTGATTAATCTAATGCTCTAGCTGGGAACAGTTCTCATATGAATCAGAAGCCAAGACTCAGAGTCATGAGTCAATTGCAGAAGGTCACACGATGAGCACTTGAGCTGGCTCTAAAGCCACCAAGCCTATCCTTCCACTCAGTGAGTAACTGCAGAGCTGGAATGTGGTCAGGACACAATAGGGGGTCAGTCAACACCTACTGCAGTGAATGGAATTGGAGTCCCTCTGAGAATTTTCTGTAATTTAGAATGCAGTAGAATACACTTCACTCAGAACTTTTCCTGATCCGTGACTATGGACAAAACCTTCCCCGGGACTTCCCTGGTGGCGCAGTGGTTAAGGATCTGCCTGCTAACGCAGGGGACGTGGGTTCGAGCTGTGGTCCGGGAAGATCCCACATGCCACGGAGCATGCCACGGAGCAACTAAGCCCGTGTGCCACAACTACTGAGCCAACTACTCTAGAGCCTGCGAGCCACAACTACTGAAGCCCGCGCGCCTAGAGCCTGTGCTCCACAACAAGAGAAGCCACCGCAATGAGAAGCCCGCGCACCGCAACAAAGAGTAGCCTCTGCTCGCCACAACTAGAGAAAGCCCGCACAGCAACGAAGACCCAATGCAGCCAAAAATAAACAAATAAATAAATTAAAAAAAAAAAAAAAGAAAAAATCTTCCCCTCTCTAGGGCTCAGTGATTTAATGAAATGCTCCTTGGGCACTTGTTGCAGCCAAGAGCTTGTCCCATTGTCTCAGGGCCTTGAGGCCACTGTACGTGGATGCAGCGAGTTAGGGCATGGGGAGCTAGAGAGCTGAGGGGTGGACCTGAGCAAGCTAGAGTAGCCACAAAGGGACAGTGTGTGTGTCCAGGCTAGGGCTCTCAGACACGAGGCAAGTCTTGTAAATGAGGGTGTGGACTATGGTGAATGAGAGCTCATGCCAGTAGATCAAGGGCCCTGGGTTTCCACAGCTTCTGGTGTTTCAAGAGGAACCCTAGATCCTGAGTTTTAAATCTGGTCTGCTGAGCTGGGCAAAGGTGGGCTGGGCTGGACCCTTCCACAGGAGCATCTTGTCTTGGAGCCTTCCTCTCCTCCCCATTTGCCTCGCTCTCCTAGTCCAGGGTGTGCAGCTCCAGGTCCAGTTACCTTAAAGGGCGGAGGGCCCTCACTTTGCCTAGGCTAGACAGGTCTGGAGGGGACATGCCTAGCTGCTCTGGAAAGAGAGGCCTAGGGGCCAGGGGACCGGTTTGGGGCGTGACTGACGGGAGTGATAGTGATTTTATTCCTGGGAACCCCACTTATTTCTGTCATTTGAACTTAGATCATAGACTGTCCAGGTAGGAAGAAGGGGCCTTAGTGAGCTGAGGGGTGAACGGAGGCCCAACGAGAGGAAGGACTGTGTGGGGACAGACGGCTCGTTGAGGGCAGGATCAAGTGCCATGAAGGTTGCTCCCTGGCTCCATGGAGAGGCCCTGGCATGTGCACACTGATCGTGGGCCCTTCACCCAAATGCTGACCCTGGTTGGGGCTGGACGATTGTGCACCTTCCTGTGTGGGCAGCCGGGCTCAGAACCCACCCCTATCCTGGAAGTGGTGAACAGATCCGGGAGAGCCACTAGTAGGTACTATTTTTCTCCTTTCCCGCTGGCAGGAGGAAGGAACCTCGTGAGTCACTACGCTGGGTTAACTATTGCTGGCGGCAAACAAAAGCTGAGCTGAATGGGAAAAACAGCGGGGCGCCGCTAATCCAATACCCACTCTTACACTCCAAGCAGCCATAGACCCAGAGGACAAGCCTGTGGTCGGACAAAATCAAAACTTACTGACCTGGGTCGGTGAGGGAGTGTGGAATGCCGCTGGACTAAAGAGAGCCAGCAGGGAGTGTCTTTTCTAAGGGTTGGGTTCCCCCTGAAGGGTTCTGGAAGAGCCCCAGGGAAGCAGGGGTCAGTCCTGGATTGGTGACTGTTTCTGAGGCAGGATGAGAAGTGGCGATTAACCAGGGGCTGGGAGCTGTCATGGGGCAAGGGCAGCTTAGCAATTGGGTATCCCCAGGAATAAAGGAAAATAGCAACAGAGCTCTGGGGGTCTCATTGGCAAGAAAGCAACAGTCAGGCAGAGTGGGCGTGATTATGGCATTTTGCAGCTGTGGCATGACCTAGGGAAGAGCTGCATTTTCTGTTAACTTTGCATCTGGCTTTGTCTGTGTCTGTCCCCGCCTGATGACGGCAGGGCTGCTTTTGATTTTTTCAGTGATCCTCACGCCTTTAATCTTGTCCAGGTTTTTATTCCTTCACAGCCAAGTCAGCGAAAATTGAAACACAATTACTATTATGGCATCTCTGTTGCTATTTTTATTTCCTTTTGCATACTGAAATGGCCCAAAGGAAAAAAAAATTCCAAGGAATGGGTTACTCACATAGAAACTTGGGAAGGGTCTCAACCAAAACCACGTGCTTCGTGAAGATTCACGTTAGGGAGGCAACAATTTAGGCCAGACTGAATGAAGGCTCCAGGAATGGACACAGGCTTTGATCCTTAAAAGTAGTACGATGAGAGAAGTTGGGCAAAGAAAAATCTAAAACGTCATGGGTACCCCCCAGTTTGGTGGAAAGGGTCTCTCAGGTGGAGACAGAAGAACGGCTAGCATGAACTTTTACCCTCTCCCAGCTGCTGGGAAGAAAGTATGCAAGCGCTGATTACCCTATGTTAATAATCTCTGATGTCAAACAAAGGCTTAGCAGAACGGAATTAACAAAGTGCTGGGCTATAGCAAAAGCAAAAATAACTGAGACCCGCAAACCAGAGTGGCTGGTGGGCTTTCCTTTCAGGGCGTCCCCTGTAGGAAACTAGGAAAGTTCCAGACAGGATGGAGAATCCTCATGTACAAAACAGGAGTTTTGTTTTTTTGTTTGTTTGTTTGTTCGTGGTTTTTTTGCGGTATGCGGGCCTCTCCCTGTTGTGGCCTCTCCCGTTGCGGAGCACAGGCTCCGAACGCGCAGGCTCAGAGGCCATGGCTCATGTGGGATCTTCCCGGACTCGGGCACGAACCCGTGTCCCCTGCTTCGGCAGGCGCCACCAGGGAAGCCCAGGAG